CGTTTTTGAGTTATCGTTTAAATAGGCCGAAATACGAGAGTTTAGAAGGCGCAAATTTTTATGATCATCTACTGTATACTTAATCTCTTCCAAAGTTTCCATAATTACGGTTTGGCGCATAGGAGGAAACGGAATATTAAATCTACATACTATGGTGTTACCTCCTCGTTTTCTTCTACAGGTGCTGGTGTGTTTGTGGGTTTGTCTTGTTTTAATAAGAACAATCCTCTTACTATCTGAACTTTTGGATTTCTCATCATGGTGAGCTGTTCCGTCCCACTTTTTGCTTCAAGTGATCATAGTGTCAGCAAATCTACAGATATTTTGTTTAATTGATACAACTGCATCCTCACTACTGCATGCTTTGTCTTCGTATACGGGTGCATCCTTCAACCATATTAACATGTGTACATGTGGGGAGCCTATTTAGAAAGTCTGTAAATAAACACCCCCAATCGTTAAAAAAAGTTTTATCTCTGTGTTGAAACTCGACACTGAAAAAGTGCTCTTTGATCATAAAGCCAGCAAAGGGCCCTTCTTTATCCTGCCATGTTCTTTTCAATTCCCTAGACCGATGGTCAAAATATCTCGCTGCTGTTATTGGATGAGATTGTAATAATCGTGCCTTTTCTTCATACGTTAGTTCTTCAGCTTGCTCTTCCGTCATAATATCATCATCTACAACTTTTTTTAAAACACAAAGAAGCTCATTCCATTTGGTCTCTGCAGCAGAAACAGTTACAAACAATGTCGGAACATTAAACTGCCTGATCATAGCCATACAATTTGTCTTTGGATTTTTCCAATACTCAGAAGATGAACAAACTCCCGAAAATGTCTTAAATGCTTGATCCCGGTTTAAAAGCCTTGTGACATAATCATCGTTGGAATATCCTTAGCAGTAAAAGGGACACCATCACTTGTAACATTGCCTCGTTTTCTCAAAATGGTATTGATATTAGAGCTCATTTTGGTGAGCAGAACTTTTCGATCCATGTACACGACCAAGTCAGGACGCATGGCAGCTCTTCTATCGAATCATCGGGTAATAGATTACGTCAAGGAACTATAGGAAATAGATTCTGATCCTTCAAGCTTTTGACCATAATATACTTTTGGAAAGGACAGAAAGTCACTATGCTTGTCATTCAGAATTGAGATCGCGATTCTACCTTCACCGGGAGCGATTCTAATAGTAATATCATTATCACTGATTAATATTGATTCGGATGTTCCAGCATTTAAGGGTTCATTGTCAGCCTCATCAACATCCTCTGTATCACTTGTCTCATCGTTTTTACTGTCAATGCCATCCGTATCATTGTTATTGCCGGTTGCTTCGGTATCTTCATCGACATTGTTTGTACTGGCATTGCTCATATTGGCAGCTTCATCATGAGTTTCATCGTAAACATCAAGTGTCACATTTGCTGCCTTCCATTGTTGTTCATCTGCAAGCTGGACATCATACTGAACATACAAAGGCGTGGTTTGGAGATAGTTAGCAGCTTCCCAAACTTTTGCAGGACTAACGTTACCTTTGCTATAATCCTTGGTAAAGATAAGCTTTCTTGCTAAACTAACGTGAATTATGCCTGTTGAATCATAATTTCGAGGTAAGCAGCTGACGCTTGTATCGACAGTTACCGGAACATTAACGATTCCGCCTTTTGTTTTGTATTGTCCAGTTAATCCTTTATGTGGCCAGATGGATTGGCAAACATGTCTTGGTGAAACTAATCTTTCTTCGAGTGTTGTTAATTGATCAACACAAGCTACTCTGTCGGGAAAATGCAGTCCCTTTTTTAATGCAAGTGTTGGGATTTTGTTTTTTCTCAAAGATGCTTTACAGGTGGAGCAAAACAGGTTTTTGCTCAAGTGGTTGTCCCTGGTAATTGTAATATTATGGAACTCATCGAATTTGTAGTTATCGATAGCCCGGAATGCCGCTTCAATAGTATCTTCATCGCACTTCCATTTTGATGTCATCGTATGACGATCGACAAGAGAAACAGTCTTCTTAAAGTATAAACCACTACAACACATACAGACTTCGGTAGGTCCTTCTTTGATACTCTTCTCATATTTTAATCTAGTCTCCTCCCATGATAAATCCTAGTTAACAAATGTACATTAATTATTGGACGAGATATATTCTTTTAGTATTACATTATGATCCCTCTTCTCCTGACGGTATTGTCGTTGATACTTTTGTTGATCTTCTTAGTTCTCTTGAGGATATTGTCGCTGATATTGCTGCTGGTGTTCTTGATTTTCCGCACGATAACGCCGTTGGTTGTCTCGATCTTATTGACTATACTCTCTGGGGTTGTCTTGGCGGTGATTCGTTTGATAATCTCGGTCATATGCATGTCTATTCTGTTGGTGGTACTGACTTTGATATTCTCTGTTGGATGTTCGTTCACGATATTAGCGCTGATAATTTTGCTGATATTCTCTCCTGCCTTCTTTTCTAGAATCTGTAGTAGCTTCGGTTTCTGATCCAAGCCCAATGACGGCCGACATTCTCTGCGAACTTTCTTCATTTTCGACATCAGATTCCGAATCAGTCACCCTTGAGCGTGGTCTTTTTCCGTTGTTTTCGGCAATGATGTCAAACACATTCTTTGACAATCTTATAAGAAGTTCGCCAGACTCATTTGAAGTTGTAGATTTATCAATTGCTCTCTCTGAAACAATATTATTATTAAAAAGCTCGGGGCCCTTTGAAGATTCTCCACTTTCGTTACTGATGACAGGTCTCTTTAATCTGAAGAAAATGTTTTCGTGATTAACATGAATCCCTTCTATATTCAAATTACTTCCCAGATCCTTTTTCTTTCCCTTATCTTTCTTTTTTATTTTGTCTTTTGGCATTTTTTGGTATGTTTTTTATAACGGTAGTTTCCAGGACAGATTATATTCGTGTCTAAATATGGTAATCGAAATGTTTATTTACTTTTTTTTTTCCTCCATTTCTTAGGCTACTAGACTCGTCAACTCCGTCTAATACGCCAAAAACCGGACAACGAAAAAAAAGTCCTATATTTGGACCATTAAATTTTTTTTTGTGTGCTTGTGAGGGGCCTTAATGAAGCTGGCGTTATTCTAAATGGGGCATTAAACATGTGTTGACTGAAGGCAACAGCTTAACTGATAAGCATTTGGCGAGATAGGAAATCCAAGATTTTAGCAACTCTCAAAACATGATTTTTAAGAAACACATAAGGGATAATATGTACTTAAAACTGGTATGAAAAATACTTCCGGGTACCCGCAGCTCCAAAGGTAAACAAAAAAGCTATGCATTGAGTTAGTCGTTGACGTAGATTAATCAAAATAGAAAAATAGAACGCAATAATGTTGGAGAATGTGTTGAAAAGTTCCAATCGAAATGTTTCTAAGGGTGCACGTAAGGCCTTTCTTCATGTCCAATCAGATATGAAGAACCTGGACAATCGCAAAATGTAAACAACACTTGTTTCATTCCGACGTACACAGTGTGCAGCGACGGCCAGATGTATCATGTCAGCGGAAATTACATGCTGATGACCAAGAATGTTGAATCTAGACGTTGCCAATTGGAAACCATCCCAGCGCAGTTTTCAACTTAAGTTATCTCAAGGTCCACGTACGCTGTCGAAAGGAGTTAGAATTATTTTTAGATCTAAATTGTATTCTTAATGAAGTCAAATTATCAGTATATTGTATAATTACACAAAAGTCAATGGCGGTATAAACGTTACTTATAATATATCGTTCTGTTTTTAGACATTGAAAACAAGAGACTTTTGCGGCATTAAAGTGATTTTTTTGCTCAACTTGATAGTTTTTTATATTATATTTCAATTGTAACATTACCCTGAAAACGTGATTAAAGTAATGTTTGGAAACTTTGAGTTTGTTAAGCTCAAAGCAACGAAAACAAAATGGTTTTGTTTAAATGTTTTTTTGTAACTGTAGAAGGGGCTAGACATTTGTTCGCAGACGAGGCGTGTGTGTGTGTGTGTGTGCTGGTAGGAAGAGCACTATGAATTCCCGAATATATTCAAAGCTGGCATATCGCATTCCACCCACGGTTAAGGATATCGGTGTATTTATCTTCGTCGTAATCTAGTCTATCATCATATGTTAGATAAGTATTATTACTGCCAGGACCGGTCAGGCCGAGAAGATACACAGATGAATAATTCCTTGGAAGAACAGTGAAATAAATGGTGATTATTATGTTTCTTATAGAGAGAGATAAAAAGAGAAGAAAATAGTAGAACGGGCAATATTCAGAATTGTAAGGCATGTTTGAAATAAAATATTTTAAGATGTCATCAAAGTGAAAGCAACTTACAGGTACTTACAAAAGGTAATTATCCCGGTTACAATCTTAGTGATAACAAAAAACTGAAAAAATAAAATTCTATCGAAATGTGTTACAATAATATCTGGATGGGATGTCATTTTAAAATATTAAAAAGTCAAATTGTTCAAATAGTTTCAGCGGGCGCTGTATATAGGTTTTGATCATCAAGCGCACGTTTAAGAATGGTCAGCTATGATGTTTGAGTTTCTTTAAATGTGAAAGGAACGTCAATAATCTGCTAACAGGTTTACAACGCTTAAACTATTCCACCAACATCTCTAGATTTTTGTAATATAGTATCAGAATCAGTTAAACAAAACCAGAGAAACCTAAAGTATTGGATCTTGACGGATAACGGATCAGAGTTCGCTATAGTATCAAATCTTGAATCATAACGGACCCCAGTCCTCAAAGGTTACTCCGCCACAGGTTATGGTATATCCTTCGCTCCAATTTCCCCACCTTTATTCTTTTTTAACCGAACCTGTACGACTTCTGAATCTGCAAAATTGCATTTATTTTAAACCTTTTACAGCAATTCTTCGACATACATAATTAATCTGAGCAACTCGCATCAAAAACGTTTTACACCCAGCAAAGTATTATTCGTTGCTCTTTCCAACAATAAATACTCGTTCTAACAATGTTGATAATGATGAAATGCTGCCGCGTGTTGCCAGAAGAACCTCCCGTTCCAGAGTTCAAACATGTAGACGAAACAAATTTGCAAGTCGTAGCAGAATGGAATAACGAGAATGCCATACAGTGAGTATTTAACATAAAAAAGTTTTATAAATAAAATCAGCTAATACGTTTACCAAACTATCTAGATATTAATGACAGATCGGTAGGTTTAACTATGAAATGAGGAGCGAATATTATCCGTTATGCGACAAGGATATGATTCCTTTCATTCCATATGACGCCAAGAACCAATTATACTTCTATTCTCTCCTTTCAGTTGTGGACAATTACTACAAGACAACATGCGTCCATGGGTCTTATTTTTCACTGTAGAAACGTACAGCTGCATATTCAGTTAGGTGGCATTTGTGATTACTTCCGTGCTCCAGTGCATATCGATTTTCTTTTTACTCGAGCATTTTTGCAAGGTGTGCTCACAAGTATTCCAAGAGAGTATGCTGTCCTGATGTGAAGTGATTACCGTAGACATGTCTTGCAAGAACACGAGAGCGGTCAACACACCCTTTCCTTGATTATTACCCTAACTGCCTTTATGTTCAAATTGATGGAATCAAGTTTGGAAAACGCAAGTATAATGGAGGTAAATGCGTCAATGGCTGCTGGGTTTTTGTTATAGCCGATGCTATTTTGAGTTCAAAGCCTAATAAGTACAAAGAGGCGGATGCCTATTTTTCAGGGTGCCCAATAGAACGCAGTACACCTTACTGCCTATTTTGTATAAGTATTGTCGTCGTGGATCTGTGATTTGTTCCTATGTCTGGGCCTGGTATAGTAGCTTGCATCGTCACGATATTCCAAATGCTTAAGAAAACGATACGTATGTTAACGAAGAACAATATGCTACGGGTGACAATTTGTTCGGTTAACATCAAGTTGTAAATCACTCGATTGGTCACGTCGCATATGATCAGAATCTAGGAAACAATGTACGAGAGGGTATCAATACCGATTTTACTGAAGGCTGTCGGAAGGACTTGAAGGCCAAAATTTAAAGCCAGTACTGCAATTCCACAAAGTTAATGGAATTTTTCTGTCGTCAAAAAAATAAGACCGATGTCATGGGTGGTTTGGAGCGGTGTTTGCGCGAGATACCAATGAATCTTGCAACACTATCAAAATAATTACAAGCCGAGGTCCATGAGCCGTCTATTTTTACTCGTGGTACAGATGGAAACCCACCTGGAGATCAAGAGTTAATACGCACAAGAGCAGCGATTCGTGAAGCTTGGTACTTAGCTAAATTTAACAGACGTGCTAAAAACATCCAGGTAGAGGAAGCAAACCATTTGGCAAAAGTAAATCGTGGGCGCACTCTTCTTGGTGAAGTCGACGTGAGCTATGACGAAGATTCGTTGATGAATAGTGATAATGATTACGAAGCAATAAACGAAGAAGTTCATGTAGAATCATTTGTTAATTCTAATTGGAGATCACCATCCCCAGTCGTGGTCGACAATATGTCGTCACCCAACATTGTTGATGGTTCATTGAGCCCAGAATTATTGCATGGATTACACTCACCATCTCTTTCAGCAAATGAAGCAGCTGCAGTGGATGCACCTATTTTGTATTCACCTTCAAATTCACCTGTACCAAGTCCCATTGTTCGCCGCACTCGTACTCGTGGTAGTTGTCGTCGAAGAGGTTGTCCTCGCAGTTTAAAGACTACAACTCGTGCGCGTGGTAGAAACAGTCATGTCAATCGTCGATAAATTATTAGAACACTGTTGCCAGCTATTTTTTATACTTTTTTATAAAAACTAAATATTTCCACCACTTTTCATAAATACCTAATAGACTTTAAAATATTTAGACCCAATAATCACAGATATTGCACTAAAGTAACGAAAAAAACGTATCGGAAATTTTTGGACCACAAAGAAATTTACCCTAATTTGATTTATTTAGAAAAAATAGTTCTTTTAAGTCGAAAATTGTAAGGAAATACATCCCGTTTTAAAGCATTGATTAAGAGCACAATAAGCTCGTTGCGAATCTTAAATAAATTTTATTGGATGTGCCAGGTGGTTAGCGTTTTAAATGAAGTATTGTTTATGTAACCGGCAATAAGTCCGGACTTATAGCTAAGGATATACCATAACTTGTGGTGGAGTTCTAGTTTAATTTCCAAACAACCAACAACAAATCACAAAGAAAGTACATGACTGCTTCAAATGGTACTACTAGTCTGAGCGTGTTCTTTAATTACGAGCACTATCAAACGTCTAAAATAGACAAACAAGAAACGAAAATATGTTAAAATTGTGTTAAACGACCAAAAAAATATCTGACATCAATGATAGAAAACAATTTTAAAAGTTTCCGTTATCTGCTGTGTATTAAAATAATAAATTAGTTGGTAAATGGATTAGCTCTTAGTAATTGTCTTAAACAAACACGATAAAAATCATGAAATTGCTACCTGTACTAATTATTGTCAGGGCTATCAAAAACCAGCATAATTTTATTAATTTACATGTGTAAATACGTTTGTTTTCTCACTACCAGAACTTTCTACTGTAATTATCTTTTTCAATGCTGACCAGACTAGTGTTCGAACTTTTCGAGCTTGCACCGATCTTGCGCCAGTTCGAACGAAGCTCGAACCGAGTTTTTGTACTCGAGCTTGCGCCACTTTTTTTGGGTTCGAGCGAGCTTCGATCGATGCTCGCTCGGCTAAATTGTCGATAGTAGTCACTTTAAAGTTAAGGTCCTTGAAAGACTACAGATGGCATTTCCCCTTGATTTTAATCTTTTCTTCCCTTTACCATTTTTTTTATTTATGCTCTAATAATTCCGACTAAAATGCTCTGGACTTTTATTTAATTGTACAACTAACAAACACATTTACCATAGAAAATGATACAGTGTTGCACACTATGCCAAATTTTTACAGCAACCACAGTAACATGACGTGGCTGAATTAGTTTAAGCTTTCATGTTCAAAAATCCAAATGTATTATAATTATACATGCAGTAATATTTTGATTTAAGTATCCGAATTCGGCGTTAAGGCTGGTGAAAAAAATAGTTTTCTTTTTCTTTTTCCGACTTCTTTTTCAATAAATAACAATTTTATTATCATAACTTTCTGTAATTAACATCACTTGGACGTGCACTTTGTGTAATAAAAAGGGCGAGCGAGTTCGAGCTATCGTATTTGCAACCGAGCCCAGCTTAAGAAACTTCGAGCGAGCTCAAGCTGCAGAAAACGCATCCGAGCGAGCTTCGACTGGAACACGATCGAAGCTCTCTCGAGAGTTTCGATCTTCATTTGGAACACTACGACAGAAAACATATCGCCACGCGATAGTGTCCGTCATATTCCACCTAAGGAACTAATTATTAAGGAATCTCCTAGAAATAATAAGAAACGTAGGCTGCTATCTTATTCACAAACTATCCTTGCTTCAAGTGATTCTGTTACAGCTGATACTCAAGAACAAACTGATAAGCTCATGATTGCAAAACTTGGTAGATGGGTACCTATCATCTATGAATCTGAAGGGAACAGCATAGTCTATTAACTTCTACCCAATCAGCAACCACGTTGTTGCAAGAATCATTGCATAGTGGTCTATGGAAGAAACCAGCTACCGACAATGATCCAACTAGAGTGCATCTGGACTTCAATGTGCCAAAAAAAAAAAATTTAAGCAGAGAGAAACGTTAAAATTGGACCACCTCACTTTCCTCATAATTAAGGTCCAATATTTTTGGACATATGTATATCATTTTAATCATGATTAAAATGAGAATATGAACTTTTTATTTTAAAAAAAAAGTGGGTCCGGGATTTTTACAACTCGATTTTAGTTGTGGGGGGAAATATTTGTCACAAGCAGGTTCAAAATTTTAAATTTTTCTTTTCTGACCAATAGTATTGTCCCGCTTATATTATTTCCCGCTTTCGGACCATGAAATGTTTACTGCCTGTAATCTCAATTTGAGTACCCGCATGCGTAGTATTGCAGCCTATTAAATCAAAGTCTTAGGACATTTATCGTCAGCCCTGTGAGACAACAAAAATGATAAACCAAACTTTATGTACTAAGTAGAAACGCTTTATATTTAGAAGATATAATTTAGAGTATTTTGGAAATAGATCCAACTAGTTGTATAAATAATTTATGTATTTGAAGGATCGTATTTGTTGGATAAAGTACTCAGTGCCACAACCCGTTAAATCATAGTCTGAGATTAAATATGATCAACCCTGTAAGGCACAAAAAGGATAAAACAAACTTTATGTACTAAGTAGAAACGCTTCATATTTAAAAGATATAATTTAGAGTATTTTGAAAATAGATCCAACTAGTTGTTTATTTTAATTTATGTATTTGAAGGGTCGTATTCGTTAGATAAAGTACTAAGTGCCACAACCCGTTAAATCATAGTCTGAGATCAAATATGATTGACCTTGTAAGGCACAAAAAGGATAAAATGAACTTTATGTACTAAGTAGAAACGCTTCATATTTAAAAGATATAATTTGCAGTATTTTGAAAATAGATCCAACTAGTTGTTTATTTAATTTATGTATTTGAAAGGTCATATTCATTAGATAAAGTACTCAGTACTATAGCCTGTTAAATCTAAACTGAGATCAAATATGGTGAAGTGTAAAACACAAAAAAGATGTATGAAATCGTAGATATACATTAAGTAAGAACGTCTACAACATGAAAACTTTGTTTACTTCAGTAATACGAGGTTTTTTCAAACCGAACCTCCGTTGCGGTAAAAATTTTGACCTTCGCTGCGCTCCGGTAAATTTTTGACCTTCACTATGGTTCGGTACGCTGCGCTTTGAAAAAACCTCGTGCTGCCGCAGGCCTGTTAAAAACGAATAAGGAATAAAAATTTATTTAAATGAAAAAAAATGTGCATGAGAGCGAATAAAATATATTAATTTTGAAAGATTTCTGAGTAAACCACATTGGATGTGTAGGTTCCTTCCTCACCTTCTATAGTTGATGTTTCGGGAGGAATTAAAACTTTTATATCGTTTGGTCTTTTAACTCGAGATAAAGCCACGTAAAGTTGCCCGTGAGAAAAAACAGGTGTTGGAAGGTATAAACCCACAGAATCTAAAGTTTGGCCTTGGGACTTGTTGATTGTCATGGCAAATGCTGGTCTGATGGGGAATTGACATCTCTTAAATTCAACACCTACCTGCTGCACCGTAGAACACAACGTAATTCGGGGAATAAGGATAATGTTACCCTCATACGGTCCAGTTGCTACTTCAGCCTGAATTGTATGCAAAAGAAAGGCCCTACAAATTAGTCTTGTTCCGTTACACACACCTTGCGCAGGAGCCAAGTTACGAAGCATCATAATTGGAGAGCCTACTTTCAGCTTCAACTTATGAGGGGGAAGACTACCACATTCTAAAGAATTCATAAATTCTGGTGGTAAAGTCAAAGCATCGTTGTCAGAAAGGGCAGTATCGGTACTCAGAAACTCTCTAAACTCTCCTGGAAATTTATCCAAAATGTAATCGTTAACATCTGATACAAATGCATTGGTTGGAGTAAGAATCGCTTTTGACATCAAATTGAGGGAGGAAATATCTGCATCATTCTGGAAATCGTTATAAACATGTTGACAGAGAGTGCTGATACTGTTTCCCGGCAGGACCATTTGATCAGGCAAACGAATTGAATTGGTAGTGTCTGGATGTACAGGGTATAATCCTTTTCCGATACTCAAAAGTAGTGTCGAAAATTCTTCTAACTCTCGTGCCGACTCCAGATTATTCACCAATTGAGCCTGTTGTACTCGCATGTTTGTTGTTAATCTCAACTGCTTTATATGACTCCAAAGATGGGAAGTGATCATACAGGATTGGATGATGTCGTCTTTAGTACCCTTAGGAACAACCGGTAAAACTTGACGAAAATCGCCACCAAAAACAATTAATTTTCCACCAAAAGGAACTCGGCCAAGTCGCATATCTTGGTGCTTCATGATATCTCTAAAACTTCTATCGACTGTTTCCAAAACATCTCGACTAATCATAGAAGCTTCGTCCCAAACTATTATTGTGGATGACGCGATCAACGATGCATTCTGACTTCTTGGTTTTAGAAAACACATTGAGGCTTGATCACAGTTTAAAGGAATACCAAATCTGGAGTGAGCAGTGCGGCCACCCTTTAAAAGAAGAGATGCGGTTCCACTAACAGCCACGGAAAGAGCGATTCGGTTTGTTCTTCGTACAGCTTGCAGTAAAGCGTTAAAAATAAACGTCTTACCCGTGCCACCAGGACCATCCAAAAAACAAAGATTATCTTTTAAGTGAAAACGGGTGTGAGTGTGAATTTTTTCACTGTCGACCAAGTTCATTACAGTTTCAAAAACAGTACGTTGATCAGCATTAAACGGTAGTTCAGCAGGATCGATCATTGAACGTTCGGCTTCAAGACACAATTCACGCTGCTCACGCTCAAGTCTACTCATTCCAGGAAATTCTTGGTCATGGCTACCATTTCGGGTATCGATTGAAGGTAAATTAAAGCCAGCAAAATCAGATATTGTTATATTATGAGCATCTAACATATCATTTAGGTCCAAGAGGCAATTACCATAAGCTGTCTCCTTCATGGTTTCAGTTAAAACAGAAATACCTTCGGGTAGAAGTCTTTTCTGGGCAAAAAGATAATCATCAGAAAGGTTTTCTTTGTGTTTAATCCACAGTTGAAAAGGACAGGACGGTTCACAAAAAACCAAAATCGTGGCAAACAATCTTCGTAACATTAAAGGTGATTGGAATGTATCACTTTCCAAAAGACACGTATCCCACTGTTCATCGTCGGCAAGTAAACCCTTTGCACGGGCGGTAGCTTGGTATGTTTCATAGAGAACACCATCAACAGTGCGTACATCTTCAAAACTCTTAGCACCACGAACGTAATTTAACAACAGGCGCAGATAGTACTTTTCAGATTCTTTAGGAGAAACAGAATAGATGCGACCTATTGTTTGGCGGAGACCTCTCTGTCTTTTCCTCCAAAACGTTTCACGTTTTTGCCATGTATAATATTCTGGAATTTCATGGTACAAATATTGATTTGCCTCTAAGTCTGTTCGATTTAAGGTAAACCAAGCGGTAAGGGTGGTTTCTTTGTTCGCGGAATTAGCAAGGACATCATTTAAGACTGCACCCTCTGTAAAATACACCATTTCCTGTCCAGGAAGATGAATACTTAACCGTTGATGAGAGGGAAACTCTTTATGCAACGAAAAGCTAAATATTCTCCAAGCGGCTTCCGGTGCAGAAACATATCGTGCGTCCACAAAATGATTAATCTCATCATGAGTTACCAAATTGTTTTGTTGAGCGCTATTGCTAATTTGAACACTTGCACGATCGTGGCCTTTGTAAACATACTTGTAAAGATACTTGACAGCGGATACATTATTACAAATTTCGACATTAATGTGTGCATCGTATTTCGTACAAAAATAAACATTATGCGGAACGACCCAAACATTATCCAAAACAATACCACCTCGTTTGGTAACGTTTCTACCATCTCTTCTCCTTCTGTATATTGGATAACCTGATTCTGCGGTGGTAGTGATAGGTGTAAATGTTTTGGGATAACCTTTTGAACACTTTCCTTCTTTCATGCAAACAGCTCTAGGGTTAAGTGCGCCACATGGACCATGCATCATATTTTTGGTAACAGTTTCGTATGCCAAAGGAAATAACTCTTGGTCAGGGATTTCAGCGGAAATGATTTTGTCAAAATCTTGTGTAGTTCTTGGTTTATCTTCAGGTCTGACAATGAAAAGCATATGAGCGTGAGGCAAACCTCTTTTTTGGAACTCTATTACGCCAACATATCCAACAACAACACCAAGAACATGGTCTTTGGTGATATCATTTAAAAGACTTTTGTATTTCAAGCGGAAAACTCTTGCACAAAGATCAGGTCTATCAGCCGCAGTTTGGCCAAAAAGCAGTTCATTTTTAATTTCGGGCCATGTTGGGTTGCATGTAAACGTAATAAAAAAATCGGGTTTTCCAAAACGTCTGACAATGCTAATGGCATCTTGATAAAGTTGGGACATATGTCTGGGACCACCAATGAATGAGCTTGGAAGAATTACTTTGCGCCCAAGAGAGCTTGTATCATTATCGTCGTGTGCAACAGCGTCTTGTAATCCACGGTAGAGTTCAGTACGTAAACTTGATTGATTATGTCTTATGTAGTTTAGACGAAATTGTTCAATTTTAGCATACATATCAACAATGTATTGATGGAAAAGTTTTCCGAAAAGATGAAGATCATGTCCACTATTTCTAAACATGAGGTGAAAACTATAAAATTGCATGGCTGTAACCTTATAACCTCTTTCGGATGAGCATAATGAATGCCATCCAGGTTGACCGGTAGGAAATATCAAGGAATAAGACATTGGATCATATGTTTGATTTAACTCATTAATTCGTTTCAGTTGACCCTCGTTTTGGGATCTTATAACGATATCACGAATTTTAACCTCATCCCCTTCCTGTCTACTATCACTACCCAATATTAAAATACCAACTTCAGTTGATGTAGTTGGGGAGTTGTATCGTCTTGGGTCCGGTAATCCCTCAGCTCTAAATACCATTGTTACATCTGCAACTTGATCAGGATTTTCAATTAGATACTGATTCATCGTTTTAAAATCTCTGACAATGGGATTAATATCGTGCATCAAGGTTTGTAAGTCGGCCAAAGTGTTGATATCCACATGGCTTGCGACACGGTGCCTGTTATTAATTTCATTTTCGGCATCGTAGACGTAAATTTGAGCGAATGACGGGGCTGCATTTTCAGATGGAAGCAACGACCCGATACGGTGGTAAATACTACCATGAATTCGAAAAGCGTAGGCACCACCACGGGAGTTTTGAACTGAACTGTCTAAATTTACACCCATTGAAACAAAACTCAGAGCATTGTTGTATGAGCGTATGTGACTTTTGAACTCTTTGCTTCTTTGATCATTATTTCGTAACAAATTCGAAATGAGTCCGGGAGTTGGTTGAAATGACTCTACAACATATCTACCCAATCCACAGCAAAGTTGAAACCTGGCAGTGCTAACACCGCCTTCCGATCGTTCCTGAACCCACATGAGTGCATTGCAATCAGAGCACATGGTCGACATTCCTCCCAAAAAATGACGCTCTGGAAGATTTTCTGTTTGCTTAGCTTGATTCAAGCTGGAGGTTGCACGGTTACTGTTCATGGGACACAGACTGCTTGTCCTTCTGGAATGTCCAAGTTGTTGACAGCTTGAGCAGCGAACAGTGTTTTCTTGGACATGATCTTGATGTAGAATTACTTCATGATCGTCAACCTCCATGTCCTATTTTAGGCAACGTCAGTTTAAAAGCTTAGAAAAATATTTCTTATTATCTGTACCTCAGTAACTGGAGTATGGTTATCTTCTGAATTGACGTTGTTATTGACAGACGATGACACCTAAAAAAAAAAAAAAATGAGTCTTTCCAAATAAAAAAAAAGATTCCCAAAAGAAATGCTTACATTCGTTGTTTGGTTTACTGGATTTAAGCGACAATCTCGGTGGGATCTACGACGATGACCTTCCTCACCACACGACGCACAGTATACACTATTATTTGACATGTTTAAAAAAATAAAGGAACAACGTTAATACTATGGGCCGTGTTCTTGGGTGGAGGGGTTCCCCCTCCCCCCAAACCCCCCTCCCCTCTTGCGGGGGAAACCCCCGCACCCCCAATTTTTTTTCACTGCTTAAAAATTACGCTGTTTAAAAAAAAAAAAAAATACTGTTTTTTAAGATATCAGCTCTTTCATGCTTAATACTATGGGCCGTGTTCTTGGGTGGAGGGGTACCCCCTCCCCCCAAACCCCCCTCCCCTCTTGCGGGGGAAACCCCCGCACCCCCAATTGTTTTTTATCACTGCTTAAAAGTTACACTGTTAAAAAAAAAAAAAAAGCACACTGTTTTTTAAGATATTAGCTCTTTCATGCTTAATCCTATGGGCCGTGTTCTTGGGGGGAGGGGTTCCCCCTCCCCCCAAACCCCCCTCCCCTCTTGCGGGGGAAACCCCCGCACCCCCCTTTAAAATCTTAACTTTTGTAACTTTTGTGACTGAAAGTTAGCTCGCCTTGTGACTGTTTTTTACGATTTCTATTTTTTTAATATTATTAATTAGATGGAACGTTCTTTAAAATTACAAACGCATCAAAAGGGTTACTGTTTTTGAGCGTATTACTTCACGGGAGCTTTAAAAAGGACAAATAGAAATGTGAATTTAGAAGTTTGGTTTATTTTTGTACCTTTCTAAAAATTTTGTTCATAAAAAAAAAAAAAAAATCCTTCCCACATTAACAAAATCTGGCTATGAATAAATTTCCTTTTATATTACTTGTACTAGTCGGGGATGAATGCTAAAAAATGTCACAGATTACGTTTTGGCACATTACAGCGAAGATGCACTCTACAATATTTTTTCATGTTCTGTTAGTCCTTCTTGACCTCTGATGTCTTTATTTTTTTCGACTTTTTGGTCCTTTTGTTATAGAAAGACCATAAAGTTGTTTTATAAAATTTTTAGTTTATTTTTACTATAAGCTAATTGAGGCCTAGTCATATAAGCGTCGTTTCATATTAAATATATATAACTACCATAATTGTACGAAAGCTCTTCTTATAAAACAACTCGCTTTTAGAAACGTTTATCTTATTGTTTATATTTATTTCACGTTATTTTTTTCACTTAAACAAGACAGTAATTACAAAGAAAAGATCTACAGTTATAACAAAAGTCAAAGTTTTTTGCTTCCAAAGAAACAGAAACAGTTATTGCTTATGGGAAGATCGAAGAATTGTTTATGTAAGTTCGTAGAAATGACAAGTAGCAACTACTTCGTCAAACAGGACGTTATCTCCGCAATGTTTCGTTTCTGTGTTTCGTTCTGTAAAATTATACTTTTTTAAATCGTAATGGATGTATGATCACTGTATAAATAGATTTACGGATAAGAAAATCTTGTAATCACGAACTTTTGAGAAGACAATTAGAACTATTAACTGAAACAGGTTTCTTTGCATTTTTTGTTGTTAAAGTTGTATATTGTAATTAATTTAGTACATGTCAGTTTCATAAATGTTAATGAGATATGACAAAAAAGGGTACAATCAAGTTCACATCTAGGAAACTTAAAGCAATAAATGAATTAATTGTTTGTAAAATGTTTCGGTAATCTATTAGGTGGAAAACATATTCAGCAGTTTCTGAATAGTGTAAAAGAAACAACATGCAGTTGTTCTATAGAATTAAATGTCTAATATGGTACATTTGTAAAGTGAATATGTTAAAGTATACTTTAATGAGTTTAAGAGTTATATAAGATTGAATAAAATGAAGTAAAAAAAAAGCGAATGCCAAAAAAAGTCTCCATAAATTTTTTTTGTCTTATTCCTACTTGTAGGTGAAAGGTATTATTGTCTTCTAGAAGTATCCACGTCAGAATTGTTTTCTATCTCTTCGGCTGATTGTTCTGTTATGTATTTACGAGCAGCGCATGCATCAAACATTCGAGCCTCGCTCGTTCTTCTTCTTTCGGTTTTAGCGTCGGATTCACCATTAGCAGCGGCAGTAAAAAAATCAGGCTCGATATCACCAGCGGGGTCTTCTTCTGTTACCTCGAAAGCTGTGGAAGAAGCAAGCTGAATCTCCTTCATGATTCGCCACATTGCATGCATAAGATCATCCTTATTCTCATGACGCCAAAGGTATTCTAAAAGCTTACCAGCGCAATCTCTGGAGTTTCGGTTTCGAGGCTTGATAAACACCTTTAAATCACGCCAGAGAGATTCAATAATGTTGGTATGAATCATTCCAGAAAGAAGTGTACCAGAAACATGGGGGTTTGATTCCATCTGATCGACCGTCGCAAAACCTTCGCTGTGATTTACAACTTAATGAGCATAAAAATGCAGACCATTGGCTTGAAAGTCGGCTCCGGCAGCAGTATCTTGATTGTGGAGACCCTCGTATCCTCTCCATCCATCGGAACGAACAATTGAGCCTGCCTTACAGTAGCGGAACAAGAGAGGCAATAAGGTAGCACCTGACCGGTTAGGTACAGCAAAAAAATGCTTCTTCCAGCAACGAAATGAGCACGCAATTCATCAATACCAAGTCGATTGTCCGTATAGCGGTAGTCTAGAGGAGTGTCCCCAGTTACAAGAGCTTCTACCATTCCGAAAACCCTGATTCATATTGATTGAGTTAATAATCTACTAGTTTTAATGAACTACAGTAACTACAAACCTTCGACGCGTCGACCACGATGATTCTTCCTCTTTCGAAATTTCGATTCATCAATTTGAATATGGTGACATCTAGGATTGGCACCAAGCCCTTGCATATCTACGATAGTCACTGAGCATTATCATTTGAATGTCCTTCAATACTTGTCTGGCTGCGTCGGGACTGATTCGGATGGACTTGTTGATCTTGCCAATTGAGTTTCCTCTAATATACTTCATCACTGTTATACTAAAATCGCACTTATATATAATAAAATAAAATAAATAAATCGTCGATCCCACATGATCGACTCATATACCAAATACAATATCACAAACGAAAAGAACATCAGGTATAAAAACTCAGTTTGACTTAAGATTTCTTAGAACCATCGTCCTCTCAATTTTGACAGAACAATAAGACTAGCTCATTGTTTACGAATCAATCCAATCATAAAGGCAATGACTGCTTAAATTTAAGGCTTTATCGGACATGTATTATACCACCAAATGGTACCTTCACTAAATATTAGATAACCGTTTAAACTGCAGATCCCGGTAACTATAAATACCCTGCCTTCTACTATTATGTACAAGGTCATTCAGTTTTAAAAACTAATAATAAGAATAAAAGCCTACAAGCACTATTAATCTTATTTACCTGTTTTTTATATATTTTTTTCTGTGTTAAACAAAGTTTCTCCACAACTGTGTTCAAGATTCGGTTAGCATTGGCCTTACGGTTATACCAGAAAAAGTGTAAGGCAACACTTCTCTTGATAACATTAAAATGGCCTCTATTGGGGACTTCGATATCGCCTTGAAAATTATCATCACATTGATAATATAGTTGATCAGGATCCTCCCGATGATACACCATCATGAGTTGAGTACAACCGTTTAAGTCGTATCTTTTTGGCTCCCGGTAATCAAACAACTTGATGTCACAAAACATACAGCTACGTTTCAGCAAAAATATGATTATATTCCTGAAGTTCTCAATATGTTTCTTATAAATACTTACTTCCATGCGGCAATGGCTGAAACTGTTTACTGTGCTTCAAGATTTCTGTCACCCTCGGTAGGAGCACGAGTTCCCCATCCAGCATTACCTTTCACCATTCTATACGGTTCGATTATTTCATCCCTGTTTAAAACAAAAACCCGGTCTTCGGAACAAAAGTTAAAATACTGTGTATCCTCTGCTGTTGGGTAATAAGTGTCGGTATTGTTCCGCGTAGATCTTTGAATGTTACATGTTAAGCTTGGCATATTAAGCAGAAACTATACATCATTTAAGACGATTTGAAGGGTTAGACAAAATAAAAATTGACAAGGTATAGAAGAAGAAAATATTAGAAAATAAGCTTACCGGAGAGAAAGGTAAACATTTTTTTAAGAGGAAAATAGAATACTTATAAATGATTTTTTTATTGTAACAAAAAATGTTTTTATCACATTCTCACATAATTTTTTTGTATGTTCTCACATACATTTTTATCGATGGCACATACCTTTTTTTTACCTTGTCGCAAAAATTCCATTTTGAAAGTCACTTTTACGATACGGAGTTTTAGCACCTACACTTTTGACTTCAACCTAAAGTTTATACTACATCAAATGTATTGTCATAGAGACTTAGGTGGTCACTATGGATGTAGTTTATACGATGATCAAACTAAGGAATAAGTGGAGTCTAAATAAATTAGCTTACAGATATCATTATAAAAGTCATAAAATAATTGAATTAATAAAAGTCATCTTATTTTACATTTAAGCTTAATACTATCTATTTTTAGAAATAGGGTCTCACCTCAACCACATTAGAGTATTCTCCTATAAATTAACTATTGGCATCGTGATAAAAAATCCTTTAACCTTTTTCTGATCTATTTAAAATACGTTTACTTGCTGTATTATGTTTTGTCCGTTTGTTCAAAGGGATTATTACCAATTGTTGAGTCAAACCAAAACGGTATAGACCTGAAAAATGCTACACACAGAGAAACCAATCAATGTTTTACGTGTGCTTTATCAGAAAGTCTTACTACATCCGAACTATCAAATTTTATATATTCTATATTATTGACTGATTATCTGTCTTTCCGCCAGAAAATGAAAAATTAATTAATTTTCTTTCCTCTGGAACGTTCTATCAACATTTATATGCGGTTTATCATTTCTGACTCGTTTCCATATATGTCTGTCACGTACGTATGTAAAACCTACGTGGTACTCCTAAGATATCTAACTACGAAAGTATAATTTAGGTGTTTGCTATCTTCAACTGTAAAGCACAAACAATAAAAACACAATAAGGATGGTGCAGAGTGTATCATAAGTAATACAAATCTGCGAAAAACATTTGGCGCGCGTCTATGTACACTACATTTTCTTCCCCAAATAAAACATTCCAGAAGAAATTGTACACAGGTGCTGCGCCTTCTTCTCCAAAGTTATACCAATGGACTACGACATCAAACTTTCATATTTATATAGTAAAGGCAATAATAATACAAACGCGAAATCGGTTTTTTCTAAATTGGAATGATCTGTGTGTGATAAGTAACCTTTTAAAAGTTTCTAGAATACGAAATTGCCATTCTAAAACGCACCTAACAGGTACTTCGCATAAAATACAGCAGGGGGTTTCGAAAACTGTTTCCCATTCTCTTGAGATTTTCTCATAAATTTAAAAATCCAATAACATTTTTACAATGTTTGACAAAGATAATTTTTTGAACAACATTTTCCTTCTTAGGATTAGAAAACAATTCTTGAGAAAATAAAAATAATTAATGAAATCCCCTTATTGTGTTTTAAGGTAAAGTTAAATTATAAAAAGACTATAGGAGTAGTTTGAGACTGTTTTTAAGATGTCTTTATTAATAAATGAAATATACGAGTATTTATATAAAAGACGGTCTGCTGTGTTCATATCTCTAGTGCTATCTTGAAGTTATCATTGATTAACCAAAAATGTATATGATTATTACATAGTCACTAATTTAGTCTTTTTCTAATAAATGTTAAGTCTTCTTAACTCTCTTTGCTTTAAACTAAATTTGAAGTATTTCTCAGACGAATAAATAAGACTTGTGATGTAATACCCTTATAGTTCTTACTATGACATTTATTGTTAAGCTTATATCACAAATGGTATTAGCATGGATAAACCTTTGTTAGCTCTAATATGCCTATAGCCTTGCTAGGTCACCACACCCATAGGAGGTCCCAAACATTAAAGATAAAATTTCCGCATTTTTTTCATAGCCGAAAATTCAGGAAGGGTCGATAAATCTCGGTCGAGAAAAAAGACGGATGATTATTATGGGTAGACAAAAAAGACAGCCGACAATTATCTTCCGTAGATTTTACGTCATCAACTATGACGAATTTGTCATAAAAAGTAATAAATAGTTTATTTTTCTTACTTTACGTCATGAAAATGTCACCACTCATCTAATTATCACCACACATATCTGAACTGCATTAAAAAATTAATCAATAAGACTGCTTTTAGCTGCGAAATTAATCTACTCTAACGCATTAATTTACCGGTGAGTCCACAAAAGTCGGTCGAAATCTACTTCATTTATTTCCTGAGATTCAAAACTGTCTGCTCAAGCTTGAAGGCTCACACTGCGTTTAGTAGCTGTAAGATGTTACTGCATTGATATTTAACACTTTCTTCAGTCATTGAGGATGCCCTTATAGTTACAGAAAACATAGCGGTCGTAAAGTTCAACAGATTCCTCGCGTTCGTTTCTACTTATATGAAGAATATGACGCTGCAACATGCTATACGGCTATATAACTGCACTAAACGGTGCTACGTTGGCAGATAAACCTTTAAGATACGAGAATTTTATTTCAAATATACAAAAACGACTGTACATGTAGTATATCCACGACTAAATTAGTATTAAACGATGTCAGGTTTTCGGATCCCAATGAACAATAGACTAATCAGTTCAAATCAGTAGGTCGCTAAGCCACACACCCAGCTCCGCAGGGGACTGTGGTTTGTTGTTCTTAGTTTTTTACAAGGGGGGCTTACTCGCTGCCCTTCACCGTTTCCTTTTTACCAAAACAAATTTTAAAATGGAAAGTTATTCAGAAATCAACAAGCCACACATCATTGATCTTAACGCTAAGATTAGAGAAATGATTGAAGAAACAGCAGAAATCTTGGTCAAAGAAGAAAAGGTCACCAAGGCAGAGGCTGAGGCCTCGATTGGCTTTCATTATACGGCAACCTCTTTGATTTTAGTCAAACGTAAAAGCCCTTACAATATTTTTACTGAAATGTTGGCCGCCGAAGAGAAAGCCGACTATTCCTCTGGCGATCAACCTCAAGGTAACTTTCCTTACTACATCAAATGTTCACTTAGATACTGACCATGCTTGTTTATATATTAAAGGGGTAGTTTCCAGAGAGAGGCCTACCAATTGTACCAGACACTTGGACCGGAAGACAAGGCTGAAATTGTGAAGAGTGCTCGGATCGACTCTAATTTGAGTGAGGACGAGATGCATTTGCGTCATTCTCGGGTACTCAGTTCCTTCCGAGAACACTTGGCCGCCTACAATACCATTTGTGGTTCAAACTTCTTGCTGCTCTCTGTCCGATTGAAGCCCACTAGTTCGGAAGATGGCTTCCCATCTCCTGTGTTGAACTTTTTCTCTGCTGGAAGTAAGTTGGGCCCGCCCAAAAACAGTTTTGAAAGTAATTGTTAATTTTTTAATATTATCTATAGCGTACTGTAATGGCCTCAAACAAGATTTGGGCCAACAAATTCAGGAAAATATGATATAACGTCTGGGAGTTGCCCAAAGGGCTAGTAAAAAAGGTACGTATCGCTTTGAATTATTTATGCATATGTTACTTACATGACTATTTCAATTAATAATGAGAGTTCACGACCAGAGCGCTAATCTTATTAGAAAAGAGTACAGGGAGAGACTTCTGAAGATGTACCGTAAGTCATTTACTCGCTTTGAATTTCCACAACACTAACTATTACTTAATAGAACAACATCCTGGTACGGAAAATGAAAAAGCCTGTCCCTACAAAAAGGTTTGTGATGGAACTGCTGACTTGGTCATGCGTGGTTTTCCCCGGGACATCCCTATAAAGCACGCTTCAGAGCAAACAATTTGCAACATGAAGACTGTTCTGAGAGCCGTAAAGGGAAACAAAATTTCATTAACTCTTCCGCAGGAGAGAATGGAAGAACCTCCAAACCCTGATGCGGAGCATTAAACGTAAATGTTTTCAGGGCATTTTTCAAAAAATGACCTTTAGCTTTTCTGCGTAAAAAAATTTCGTGTCCCACTTTTTTGGTTCAATTTATTCCGGAGTTTCAAAAGATCAAGAGTCATCAATTTCTTTTTCTCTCTTCTAGGGCTTTCGGAAGAATGTGTTTAATAAACAATGCTGTTTCTCTGAACCCAATGTCTCCCATCATCATAATACATCAATTAAAACAATTGGACAAAGATGGCATATAAGTTAATGGTTTTCAATGCGCAGATGTTTAGTTTTGTCAGTCTCCATATCAACAGGCTATAATAACGATGATGCTTGATTGCATTAGAATCTTGTATAAATTTAACCGAATTAATAATTCTTGCTGGAGATTTTAATATAATTTTAACGCCCCAGACAAAACTAAACTATGCAACCTTCTTGAAAATAAATTTAAAATTGGCCATCTAATCTGCGATAGACTTTCTGCCACACGCCATGGTGCCTACATTGACAACTTAAATTCGAATTATACTGTTTAAGAAAGAGATCTATGCATTTCATTTACAAGATACCATGAACCCTTATATACTACGTTTTAAGCACGTATATTTTTAATATGCATTATCATTTTTCAGTTCCAAATACGTTTAAGCTCATGTGATATTAAAGAAAAGTGTGTCATATCGGATTAGAAAAATTTCCCCGGGAAGGCCGATTAGCCTTGAGTACGGCCGGATTTTTTTTTTTTTTCAAAAAAAATAAATTTACTTTTTAAAAATGTCATGTTTTTTTTTCGCACATCGAATGCCATAAGTGTTTGAAATAAGCACAAGAATGTATGAGTCTTTAAAATAAACACAAAAATGTATACTACATATTCTCTTTAATTGTGAAAGGCTAGAAGTTAGTTTAAGACTTTCTTGATCTTTCTTAAAATAATGCGAAGACAATATGTTTTATTTGATTTTTAATATGTAAGTCAATTTATTATTGAGCATGATGATATCCCATAAAAACTTTGCAGTAAGCTCTAACTAAACAATTAAATTTAGACATAGGGGTAGTCCAGAACTTTTGACAAACAATTATATGCTCGCGAGAGTAGCAATTGCTAGAATATATAATACTCAGGGGAGACGTCAAATTAAAGAAGAATTCATGCTCAAAGAACAATTAATAATTTCGCTCGTAACGGACCGCGAGTTCGAATGTCAAATATTCCCAGTAGCTTGAGTCGCTTTGCCAATGGTTGAGTGATGGGAGAGTCATAATCTGCAGTGACTTTTCGAGTTGTAAATGCCATTATTTAAGGTAAGTACGATACAACGCTAACAAGAACCCTTTGTCGAAAGCCGTGAATTCTTCTCTTGCTGATGTCAAAAGCAATGCGCACTATGGTCTGACTTGTTCTGTTGTACTTTTCTTGTAGTACTTATGGTTAGGTTGGTTTTTTCCACCTATTGAGGGTCTTCCAACATTCGCAGGGGTGGGTGTATTGTGGAACCGAAGTGCGTGCTTGTTTCTATTAGATGGCGATAAAAATTCCCTTGAACAGACATGGCAACGAGATCTATCTATGTCGCATCCGGGTTTTGTGTCTCTGAGAATAACCATTTGGATAATGCCTAGTTATAGATTTAGTTAGTACAATAATAAAGAGGTTGAAGGGTTAGGTTAGACGTAAAAGGTAAAAGGCGATAAGAGAAAAATGGTCGTATTTCTTTTATGAACACGAGATCGCGGCCCCAGCCTACTTCGGTGATTTTTTGACCTCGGCTTTGCTACAGTAAAAATAACCTACGTTCTGGCTGGGCCATTTTCGCGCCAGGATCAAGCCACAGAAGCCACTCAATGCTAATAAGTTGAATAAAAATTGAGTTTATTGATAATGAATAATATATATTAAATCGAGGTATGGTTTTGTGTTGGAGTTAATACAACGTTGTCTGTGAGTGTAGATAATGGTTGCTAATCCTTTTTATCTTTTTTGCAATTTTTCTATCATAACATGCCCAGACCTAACAAAAAAAAGGCTATTAGAAACAGACTTAGAAGAGAAGATGGATGCATTCAATCTGCCGAAGTGGTACTCCCTGAAAGGGAAACCATTGAATTGATTCACGATCAACTAGTCGAGCAAGCTGAGGCGAGTTCTCTTGATCTTATTTTAGATAGCAATACAGAAATAGGTAAAAGACCACTTAAGAACATCACTACATCCAGAACAACAAAATGGAGAAAGAATGCCGAGGCTGCAAAGGTAGATCCAGACCAGACTTTTCAACGTTTTGGATTTGCTGTTGCAAAAAGTGTAGAAACTCAGCAATTAACAAAGTTGATTCCTCACACGGAAAAAGAAATCGAAGGCATCAACAAAATCATGTCTGCTGTCCAGGCTCTTATTTTACCCGTAATGAGTAAGAAGAAGGACGATAATGCTCGGTATTTATCTGTGTATGAATATTGTTTGAATCGTTTGGGTGGAAAAAAGAAACTATTGGCTTCAGAAGGAGCAGCCAAACTATTCTGGCCCCAATACTAAAAGGAATACAGTGGGATGACCATTGTCAAAAGGGCGAACGAGTTCATTGACGAGGGTAAGCTTTCTGATCACTCCCAAGGCGCCCATGTTAAAAGAGTATCACTTTTAAGTGACTCGGATGTCAAGATGGTCGTTTTGAAAGAAATTCGAAAGATGAAACCAGCTCCTCGCTCCTGGATTATCATCAAAAAAATTATCGACGAGCAAATCATTACTTCCGTTCTTGGTGTGGCTGAAAGTGATTTAAGTATGACAACAATTTCCCGTTATTTGTCCGAATGGGGATACTCATACCAAAAAAATAAAAAAACTATTTTTTTTGATATCCATGAAAGAGAAGATGTGATCACCTAGCGAGATGAATGTACTAAAAGAATGGTCGAATACATGAAAAGATCAGAATTTTAAGCTGGTGCCAATGAGGAGGATATTCTTGAGCCAGTTCTGGATGAAGGCAAAAAACAAGTTGTGTTTGTTACGAACGATGATTCCACATTTTATGCAAATGATGGTAAGTACGATCTGTGGTTGTTATAAGATGAGAACCATATCGGAAAAAAGGGCCTAGGATCATCAATAATGGCCAGTGAATTTCAATGCTTTGCCATGGAACCATGAAGAGTGCTGGTTGGACTTCAAGAAGTTTTTCAAAGCGGGTGTGGGCAGAGAGGGGTACTGGAAGTACTCTGACATGTTGGAGCAGCTTCAAGACGATGAAATCCATTTTTTTGAGCTGCTCCTCCCTGGTTGTCAAGCTGTTTTCCTCTTTGACAACAGTTCCAATCACAATGCATTCGGTGATGATGCTCTTGTTGCAAGTCGTACGACACTTAATGAGAAGCCATACAAAGATAACGAGAAGTATCAGTGCAAAGACACAACAGTAATTCTAACCGACGGCACCCGCTTGGAGCAGTCTTTCTTTTACACCAAGAAGACCAGTGTCACTAACCGGCTGGGGTAAGACGTGAAGTCAAAAGATACACGATACTTTAAAGGTATTCGAAAGATTTTGGAGGAAAGAGGCCAATGGCCTGGTTGTGATCTGGAAGGCAAGGCTTGGAAAATGCTATGTAAGTAAAAGGAGGCAGGCCACATATCAATGTGTTGTGCTCGTCACTTTCTTGAAATTAGACTCGACTTTGTGGCGCAAAAGTCGGCTTTGCAGCAAGCCGTTCTTGACTCAAGTCACATTTTCGAGTCCTATCCAAAGTATCATTGTGAATACAACTGGATAGAAATGTACTGGGGTCCCGCCAAAAGAGAGGCACGTTTGAGATGTGATTACACATTCAAGTCTCTTGATAATAACGTATCAAACTATTTGGATCAAGCTTCCAATGTAGTTCATATAAAAGGATTTTTTCAAAGATCTATGAACTATATTGAAGCATACAGTAATTGTTGTGACGGTAGAGAAGTCGTGCAGGAAGTAAAAAAAATTTGTCAGCAAGTCATATTTATCTCACAAAAAAATTAGACGTGATACTGGTTTATTGACTAAATAAAAAAAATTGCACAATGAGCATCGTCACAATGAGTCAAAACCATTAAGAATGAACATTCAGATGAATGTCTAGCTTAGGAATTTGTGGAAATCGATGAAGACTTATAAAATAAAAACAAGAAAATTATCAAATTTGCAAAAATTAACTAACGGTTTATTAAACAAATAAAAGGGGGTTTTTATATACACATTATTTCAGATATTGCTCACAGATGGGCTGATGACGTTCATGGGTAGATTCATCCAGATAATACTCGGATGTAATGATCCCATATAGAAAGGCCATACTGAGATGTCAATAACAATAACAATAACATTCATTCTTAAACAGTGTATGTCTTGTAGCACAATATTCAGGGGAAAATGTAGTTCTTAATTCAGATAGTTGTAGCACCTCAATGTAGCTGATGTAATCTTCATATGTTTTTATATCAATGGTAATATCTAAATGTATGTTTTATACTTGTATGAAGGATGATATGATATCAAGCCTGTACATAAAGTAAATGATCAGTATTTAATATAACAGTATCAATAAGAATTATATCTAGGATTTTCAAATGGAAGATTTAAGAAGTGTAGATAGAGTCATATATTAAGCATATAGCCTCGATCACGACAGGATTCTAGAAAAAAAACACATGCCACCATTTCGATTTCGAAAAAAAAAATTGAAACAAAATCCAAAAAACCGCTATTTAAAAATGAAAGCACGTTACTAATCAGATTATAGGAGGCCAATGACAAGCGAGATTTGAATGTGTGGAAAAACGGTTTGTTTGACACGGAAAAATAAAAGATAAAAAATAGGAAGAATAAGATTAATATTGCTTGTAGGCTTTTTTATTCTTATTAAAAGTGAATCCCTCTTTCATCTCTGAAAGAAAGGGGGTATTTATAGTTATTTAAAGCGTGGGTAAAATTATAGGCTAGTTTGTGTTCATTTGGTATTATTGGCTGTATTTACTAATGACTGATGAGCCTTATCAGTGTAGCCAATCTATTATTCGAAATGGGATCTTCTATTGGAATATCTAGTAACCCTGAGTTGTAAATGTATAGCTCAGGATATTTTATAAGCCATTATTTTTTATGAGTGTTAGGATATTATGTACCTGTCAATCAAGGATCGATGGAATGATTTTATATGCGATTTTATATGTTAAATAGTGCGATTTTAGTACAGAATGTAGGCATAAACACGATAAATTTTTGAATATTTTTTGATGAATTTTTAATGGACGCGTCAAGTGACACTACAAACTCTTTACGGAACCTTGTACCATTATTTTTTCTTCTAAATGATTTTCATTGGATTACTTACTTTGAGATATGGCGTGTTAGTCATAATCATGCCTGTTATCTAGCCCTGTCTAAGAAGGAGGTCGAATTGAATATGTATATAAATGACCCTAAATTTTATGTTAATAAAAGTCAGTTACTTTTTGCAATCTCGTTAATCTTACTTGTTAAATTATATCATCGATTTGTCCATGGATTTGGTTGAGATATTCAAGTAAAATTTAGAATATTCTTATAATTTATAAGTAATCGGTTTTCAATATCCAAGATTCTCTGAATCGTTATAAAAGCAGTATCTTGCTCATCCAGATCGATTGGACATTCCTAATTATCAACACCATCATTAGCAAGGCTTTCACGATACGTATACTCAGAGTCGGCCGTAAAATTCTCTCTATGGATGTCCCAAATTTCTGTGTACACACCCAGAGGATTTTTTTGCAGGTTTGTTTGTAAACATCGGTGAATGATTTCGGACCATTTTGGGAATGGGGGGAAGTGAGCTGGGGGGTCTTTGGGGGTCTATTGGGGGTCTTCATTGGGGGTCAAAAAACGATATAAAAGCGATTACGTAGCATCAAAATAATAAAATTTTTTTGGATAAAATGTATACAAATAATCATAAAAAACGGTTGCTTTGGATGGGGATGTCCAGTCGTAGCGCGATAAAAGCAAATACCAAAATATAAAAGAGAAGGATACTATTGTAAAAAGCATGTTAGAGAACATAACGGTAGTATTGGTATTATCCTAAGCCCGCGTACCTTGTACTTTTAAGAGAGGGAGAAACAGAGGGAAAAATACACTAAAAAAAATTCATTTTAGAAAGGAAAAATGATATGAAAAAGATGGAAATGTCATACCTTACTAGGATTCAGAACGCCAAGAGTGAAAAGCAGCTTTGGAGAGGATATAATATGTTAATAAATGCACAGAAAATAAGGATTAACAAAAACGCGTGTATATTACCCACAGTACACAAAGCAATACTTGCATTCAATTTCCTGTTGATTAATGAACTGTTAACGAGGTTCTTATAATATGTGTATTAATTACCTTAAGACGATGGCTTCTTAAAACAAAACGCAAGTCAATCATATTTTTGATTAAAAAGAAAGAAAGAAAAAATGTGATTTAAAAGCATCAGCATTTTGTTACACAGCATGAGACCAAATCTATAAATGAAGGCAGTGAAAATGTTTTGCAAAACTTCATAATTTCAATTATACTCACAACGCAAAGCAATGTCTTTTAACGTATTCTCTATTCACAATGATGATACTTTCTGCACAAGTTGTAACATAGATCTCAAAACCAATACTAACTTTAACCGTCATCAAAGAATCATCCATGGGCGTGCAAGTAACGCACATGTTGAGTAAGAATTACTATAAAAACAAAAAAGACTTCAAAAAATACATATACTTACCAAAACATCATTGATAGTACTCCTACAAACGATAACCATGATCCAGTAGATGAAACCACTGAAACCGCCGATGCCAATGATTATTTTGATAGCTCGGAAGAGGATGACGGTGCTAACCTTGCCTATCCGTTTGAATCTGATGATGAGTCTCTTTCTGAGTCAAGCAATGATGAAGTTGAAGGACCTAATACCTATCAAAGTACATCTGTCTTTAGCTCTAGTCCTTTCTATCCTTTTAAAAATGAAATGGAAATGAAGATCTTGATGTTCTTTAAGGGTTCACAAGACAAAACATCCATCCGATTAATAAAGAAGACCATGCATTTGCTGCGCGAATTGATTACGATATCCCATCAAGAAAGGGATTTGATTCAGCAAAGACCAGAAGGATTTAATCCTCTGCGCAACATACCAAAGGATGACCGTATTTGCAAAAGCCATGACACCAGAAGAAAATTCCCTCGTCTTGAAGTTGATAAGGCTACTATTCCAAAGGGAGATGACCGGTCTGTGGAATTATTTTTCATAAAGCCATCAAATCATTTGGGTTTGGTTATGGCTAATCAGCAAAAAACTAAACTTTTTAAATCGTTACCAGATTTCACTCCAAACCAGCGTTATCATTTGAATCAAGGACGGAAATGGAAAGATAATAAACATTTCCAGTCGCCAATCGTAGCTAAAGAATTCACAAATGCTGATACGGATTTTTGGATTGGTGATGTAGTCAGTACCCGCCCAAATCAACGACAACGCCAACAACAGCTATATATTATCGCTAAATTTCTGACAGTGAACGATGGCCTCTTTGTCAATGTTTTTCCCATCGATTTTACAGATAATTTCCAGTCAGCAGCTATTGATTCAACTTGATCCAACATTCCCGTAACAGATATACTTTTTTGTATGACGGTTTTCCAGCTTCTTGAACAATGCCATCCTCGATTATGCTCCAAAATAATTGACAATAATGGTGAAGTGAGATATACATCTTTCAATCAACTGATTCCACGCCATTTTGTCATGATGACTGAAGGCCTTAAATTTCGTGAGCGAGTACCATATGTCAGTTCAAATCGACAAATGACAGTTCGGGTAGTTCCTATTTCTTTGTTTTCGGACGATACTAGCGGCAATAGATCTAAAAAATGGAACTGTTTCGACAGCTGGGTGATGGACATTGCTGCGTTCGATCTTGAGGATAGCAACAAGTACGAAAATCATTTCTTTCTGTGTACCAGTAATCACAAAGTCACCGCAATGGAAATGGTTAAGCCTTTGACAGAAGATTTACTCGAGTTGGAAAAAGGAATAGTGATGTATGATGCCGAACTTCAAAAAAATGTTTTTGTGATTGCACCTGTACTGCTTTTTCGTGGAGACAACGTTCGTCAGGCGGAACTAGCCTTAAGGAAAGGATCAAGGGTAATCACCCATGTAGATTCTGTTATTGGTAAGCTGATCCACCAATGCCTATCACCACTGGAAAACAGCCAATAGCCTTGAGGTATAGCTCCGAAACGTACACTGCTGAGTCAAGAACATTAGAAGATTTTCTTTCTTTTGTAAACCCGGAACAACCAGAGCGTTCATCCCCGGTTTATCTTCCTAACAGAGGGCGGGTAACAAACCAAGGAAACATAAAAGAACCTGGAAGTTCGAACAAATGGGGAGAAATCGGGTTCAAGCTAACAGGTGCTGAGGATTTGTTGAAGTTAAAGGCGGTCGATTTGTCTCAAGATTTGCCTGTAGAAATCTTGCACACTTTGCTTTTGGGAATGACCAAATACTGTTTTAAACTCGCTCATGACTTTTTTTAAACGATGTACAGCTTCAACTGTTAAGTCTATTTTTCCGAAACTACAACTTCAAAGCATTGCATTGCAACCTTACATCTTCATTAACCGCATTTCGCTCTTTTGTCGGAAGAGATTTCAAAATCCTCGTACAACTACTCCCAACACTTTTGCAAAAAGCAAACTTTTTCAATCCTTCATTGTTCGATGAAAATCAAGATTCCTTTAGATCCATGTTTGAATGCTTTGACAATCTCGGCTTACTCGCTTCACTGGTATACATGGAAAAAATCGACAATTTTCACTACTACAAGCAAATATTAGATATAACTGTGTCAAAGACCATCACAGCTATGGACGACTTACATCATACGACCGTTTTGACTAGAAGAAGATCTGCTGCTGCTGGAACAGAAGCTATCACCAAAATGAACTTTTCGTCATTGTGCAACCGACTGAAATCCCATTTATTGATCCATATTTGACAAGATGTTGAACGGTTTTCCGGTGGTCCTCATACCGAGACTGAAAGAGGTGAGCAGCAACACAAGTTCATGCGTGAGCTGTTGTGCCATACTAACAGACAGAACGGTGGGCGAGATGTTGCTGTTCGATTTGCCGAAGAGTTCATGCTTCGTCATATCAGTCAAGGTGGTTTATTTGTTAAGGATCCGTCTTTTTCAGTTTGGGAAACGTGTGGCGTCAAAGTTCTGGAATCGTTTGATGCAACGATTAATCAAAGCGAGCTTGAATTATTAGACAACATCAACAGCCAGAAAAAGCTTGCACTTTGAACTACTGGTGTCTTTCGCAATGGTAACAGTTCCAAGTCAAGCGGTCTTTCCCTTGGTAAAATTGTTATGAAAAACGGCCAAGACTTCCTCGTCCAAGCATATGATTTCGTTTGTCATGACTCCTTTTCGCAAGGTCCACAATCAAGTATTTATGAAAGCTGCGTTTTAGATGTTGCTGGCAATGTTATAACTCGTAGACTACCAGGTGACGATTTTGTAATTGCTGGTCATGAACAAAATCGCGTTGAATTCTTGCTGGACATGTCACAACCTCCTATCTCTTCGGATTACGACACTTCTTCGACGTTGAGTATTAACAAATCAAAATTCGGTAGCATTTGGTGGCTTCTCAACACGCGTTGTAGTTTGGAAAAAATCGTAAGATTACCAAACTTTTAGATATATTTATTCACACATTATTTTGTTATAAAAAAAACGTAAAGGACCTTTTTTTTTTAATTTTTTGTTAAGTTCATTTGAAAAGCCGTCCACGTCATGCAAACATGATTTGGGGGCGGATTTGAAGTGGTGGGGGACACTTGGGATGTAAACAAAATAACAATGATGCACAAATTTGTCTTAATGGGGAGCCTTGGGGGGACGCTATGCATTTTTTTTTTTAAAAAAAATAGCATCCAATGGATTTCATTTATTTTTGGGATTATCATTCACCCGTGTGTGACTCAGCCTAGAAAGGCAATGGCTGCTCTGGGTGTGTAGCCAAAGGAATCATCATTGTTATCACCATCACCATAGTCTGAATCGTCATCATCAAAAGCGCTCATATCATATACTCTTTCAGTTCTAGGACCAGGTTTACAGAATGAGGAACCAGTTTTCTTTGCTTTTTTTTTTAAGTAGTTAATCCTATTTTCAAATTTTTTGTTGTTCTCTATAATACAAGGACAAACTCCACCCTCGTCAAGAAATTCATATACGTAATCCTGCTTGAGTTCCAATACATCGCAGCTTTCATAGGGTTCATACATACAAAAACAATGACCAGAAGGTAGAAGTCTAGGATCGTATCCACGGTTAGGAGTGTTTTTGCTTTTTGGCATAAGTTTTTATTTTATTTTTTATGTAAAATTAAGAGAAGGGAGAGACTGACCGACTTTAAAAAATCTTGCTTATCGTACAACACAATTTTGTCTTATACATAGAATTTACTTCGTAAGACATCAACATTATGCGCTAGAGGTATATGTTTGTTAAAAAAGTACATGAGAGAAAGAAGGGGAATTTCGGTTTTTAGAAATATATACGGTGTATTTTAATTTATGCACTATTCATGCATAACATACTGATGACGATGTTATCGTTTTCGTTGGGGGGTCATTATCTTTTTCCAGTGTGACATTATTTAAAACTCAAAATGACATTCTGTCCTAAAAAGCGAAATTACAGAACATAATTCCCTTCTTTTGGGGGTGAATTACATTAATGTAATTTTATACAATTTCGGTACATCAGCCTTATAATTGTTTACCCTTATTTCAAAGTTTTAGTTTTTTATCCAGCTTCTTAGCGGGATTTTGAATTAGGACGTATGCTGTATCTACCTAACCTATTTATTACAGCACATAGTAAAGGATTATTTACAGTAGAATCTAATTTGCAGGTGATCTAGATATCATCTCTGTAATTTTTAAAGAAATTCGTACATGTTAATCCAGTGGGGATGCTATTATTTCTCATTTATATAAGCACTTTTTGGCATATTAGTTTTAAGCAGCTAGTTTTTGTACAGGGTAGGTAGATAGAAACTACCACTTTTGTCAGTGTGATAGTTTTTGCCATTCTCAATTAGACCCTTTTTTAACATTTTTTTAACCGGTGACTGTTATCTAATTGATATTGTAACTAGCGATACTAGATCTTCATTTGGAAGAAGGTGTACGTAATCTAGAAGGCAATTTAAAAAGCATGGATATAGACCATGTCTTGGAATCCACGAAAGACTTATTGAACCGGGGTGTTGCTAAATTAAATGAAAGATTGGCGGTGTATTCTCGGGAGTACGTGGAGGTACTGGAGTTAGATGACCCTATCCGACTCGGTGAACTCTCTGCAAGAATGGTATAATTCCAACAACAATTGGATGTTTTCAAGAAACAACTGAACGAATGCGAATCGAAGGAAGACGATTCTAAGGTGGTCAAACCTAAGCGCGATTATGTTAATCGAATCATGTCAACCAAGGATGTCCCAAAGTTCCAAACGAAGGCCATGCTTCCTAATCTTCCTTTTCCCGAGGAAAAGATTGTCTATGAAAACACTGAACATTTTTTGAAGATGTTTGAGAAGGAAATTATGTTCGCTGGCGCTAATATGGAGGCTGATTGGAGTCGAACAATTGGATTTTCTGTCCATTTTGATGACGATAGCTGGGTGGAGTCAACCTTACTCAAATGTGATTCTTAGAAATTTCCTCGTGCGACGTTCATCGAAAAGTTTGTTACTGAAGACGATCATCGTTATGCGTCTGCCAAGGTCTTCACCATGGAAATGAACAAGGATAAGTCTATTTCGGGTTACACAACCAGGTTTATCAAGACGGTATCTGAGGCGAATCTGGATAAGAACAATGATATGATTGTTCAAAGATTCATGGTTTCATTAACCGAAGAAGACCAACGTGAGGCCCGTATCGCTTGGTATTCTAACAAGGATTCTACGTGGACTGTCGACAAGTTATCTAAGATTGCTCGTGATTTTTTGGAAGATGTCGTATTTGGGTACGATCCACTTAAAGAATAATTAAGCAAATCGTTTAAATAAATAAACTACGAAATTAAAACAACCTTTGATGTTGCATATCAGCATACGCTTGTATACTGCTATACAACTTCTCCTACTTCGAGTACATACTTCTATATAAAAGATTGCATGATTGGCCTAAATACGATATACGAATGACAGTTGGATGCAGAATGCTATACCACTGAGTTACGATATCACCGATCGAGAAGAGAAGCTTCTCAGATCAATCAAAAATTATAAGAAAGAGAAACTTAATATTAATAGTTCTCTCAATGGATTAGCTACCCAGAGAGAGAATAGAACAGCTATTAATATAAATGGTTCATTTACTTATATATCGATATAATTATACTGCCGATAAAGAGTATAAAGAAATAGTGTATGAATTAATGGATACCTAGCTTCTACAACCAAATATACAAATATCGATAAGACATTTTATATTTGGGATCGTAATTTATTCATTACAAAGATAATGAATAAATGATCAACTATTATGTTCTATTGCCAATTACACTTGACAAACAAGTATGTATCTTTTACAGTAACCGTTGCATGATCTGATAAATAAGTGTCTCGTAATACTAAAGATTTATTAGCATACTCATGCTCCCGATCCACTGATATGGGACAACGTTATCTGGAAACAATTATAACGAGTAGTATGCATTTAACCCAAGGCGGGAAACAAAGTATAGATCTATTCCAAAACCAGAAAGGTTGACTCATCATTAAAACTCAGGAGAGTTGTGCAATATAAAAAGGATAAATTATTTCATAGCAGCAGAGTTCTTTTAGTCTATTTTGACCCCTAATAAAAATATACTTTTATCTCATTACTTTTCTATGTAATATTTGTCAAATACCACAGAAGATACTCCCGTCAAGTACTATGGTCGTGGTGGAGGTTTTAGCTCCGCTGTTATTAAGTGGGCTAATTCTGGACGAAGAGCAGTTGTCGTATTTGGGTATGATTTATTTGAGAATAAACAAATAAATCGAATAAAATAAAAAACATGGAATAAAAACATCCTTTAATATTGAGTAACATCATACACCTGTATACTGCTACACAACGACTCCTACTATGAGTACATATTTCTATATTAAAAGATTGCTTGATTGGCTTAAAATCGATATATAGAATTCTATACCACTGAGTTACGATATTACTAATTGGGAAGAGAAGCTTCTCTGATCAAATCAAGAAATATAAGAAAGAGAAACTTAATATTAATAGTTCTCTCAATGGATTAGCTACACATAGAGAGAATAGAACAGCTATTTATATAAATGGTTCATTTACTTATATATTGATAAACACAACTTATACGACTGTGAGTGTATCAGAGAAGTAGTGCATGGAATATTTGGATGCCTATTTTCTACAACTAAATATACAAACATCGATAAGATGTTCTATATTTAGGATTACATATTTACCCATGTCTTAGATAAAAATAATTAACAGAATGGATAAATGATCAGACATAACTACATGTTCTACCACAGCCGATTAAACACAAAAACCTTATGCATCTTTTAACTAGCCACCATTACACAATACCTTACTGGAATTCTATATTTTAAACAGAACAATAAGAGTGTCCCAGATCGGTTGATTCAGGGCGACGTTATTTGAAATCAATTCTAACGAGTAGAATTCATTTAATGTAAGGCGGGAAACTGAGTATAGATTTATTACAAGAGCAGAAAGGTTGACTCAACACAACTACCAGGGGAAGTTGCTCAATATAAAAAGGATCAATTATTTCATCGCAGCAGAGTTCTTTTAGTCTATTTTTACCTCGAATAAAGATATACTTTTTTCTCATTACTTTTTCATTGTAATATTTTTGTCAAATACCACAGCAGTAGGTGGGAAATCTGCTGGTGACAAGAAGTTATTTTGCAAAATTCATGGAAAGAATCGTACTGTTGTGAGTCCAGCTTCGGACATTCAAAGTATAACCACAATAGAAAACAACTTCTTTCCTCAACATTATTAGTTTAAGACAAACACCAATTACTACCTTCGTACCTTTGCAAGATATATTATACAAATAGTTTATCCAGAATATTTAGTATAAATACTCTTCTAGATTTAATCATTAAACAATTATCTTTTACTTGAATAAATAATCTGTGACTTAAGCTACTCGAACTCTAATTCATGTCTGTCTGATCAACTTCTAAAGACCGACTTCTCTAACTTATTTTAGTACACATGTGACGGCCGATTGTAGTGATGCCCCTGGTCCCAGCGCTCCTAACAAATTTTACGGTAATAGAAACGTTTTCCACAAGGCCGGTTCATCTTCTGGTAAACCCTGCAACTACTGCAATAAGGCTTGGTCTCCAGGTCACAGGTGTTAGGAGTTTCTGCAAATGAAGAGACAACAAAGTTGCCAACGGTTTGATAAAACCATTCGGGCGTTGAAGGTCAGCTCCTGTGAAGCTGCACCCAGTGAACCCACTAAGGAAGAAAGTGAGGATGAAAACGATATGGACATTGTATCATACATGGAACAAAAATCCTATGAAGGTAAAATAGTTAACATGGGCACAAAATTAGATGCATTTAAACTAATTACGCCTATTATTGTTCATGGAATTGAACTATTAGCAAAAATTGATACAGGGAGCGAGGCAACTTGCCTTTTCTTATCTTCGTATAACAAGAAGTTAAATTTATTTAAAATAAATCGCTTAAAAGGAACCTTAAATTTTATTTCGAGTGATGGGCATAGTGCGAGAATCGGTATAACTGATCCGCTTAAGGTAAATTATTTAAACAACATTTCATTTAATCATCAATTTGAAATAATTAAGTTTAATGAGTCCATGAACTACGATGTATTATTGGGAACTGATACCTTATCAAAATTGAATATCAGATGTGGTGATCTGCTATATTGTTGCTGCATTACATAAGTCCATATCTATGACATCAATAGGGGGTTTCAGAATCCAAAACCTTAAATTCTGCAAAAAAATTTCTGGTATATGATTGGTCAATGATTTTTTGCAAGTTTTTGCAACAAAATAGTTGCAAAAACAAAAAAATAGTCTAAATTAGTGTTAAAATTTAGTGTTCCATGACACAATATTTCATGCTTCATCGACATAATTCACTTATTCATCGCTTTTTTTTTAAAAACTTAACATAATAAACGATTCAAATTTTTAACTATGGATATTACGAAGCTTTCGACGAACGATACAAATAGTCACCCATCTCCAGTCGCTCCTAACATCCGCAAAGATAAAGGTAAAGAGAGGGAGGTGCTACCCAGAAATGTCGAATTAAACAACAACCAGAAATAAGACAAGCGGAAGGCTCTACAAGTACCCAGTCTGATGATCAACATAGAAAAAACAGGTCATGGTTTGTCGGAGAAGGTGATGACAATAAACCGGCAATGGACCGCGTCAAGGATTTTTTGTTGGATAACAATGGCAAGTACCTTGATATTTGGAGTGGTATTCCAGATAAAAGAACGGGAAATACAACCCAGGGAAAATCACGACCATGGGTATCTCAACAATGTGCGGACGAGTTTGCCAAGCATGGCATCAAACGAAAGAAGGAAACTATTCGCACCCAAATTATGAATATGTTGGCGTCGTATGGAGAAGCGGCAAGACTCTTTAACCAAACGGGTGCAGGAGCTAAAGGCGACGTCCCAGGTGTAAGCATGTCCGAAGAGTTCAAGAGTAAGCGATGTAATATATTGTCCTTTATACCATGCTCACCTATAGATATTCGTAGAAAAAGTATTGGAAACATGTCCCCAGTACTTCGAATTGGAGCCACATCTTTCTGATAGGTTTACGGACGATTCTTGGGCTGCAGACACAGGAACTATTCAAGATAAGCCTTTCAATAAAGAAACGTTTATTGAGAGTATTCACAATAAGCGATCAATTGATGACGTTGCCGGTGAAGAGTCTGAGAAGGATAACGAAGACAAGAAGAGCAAAAGAAACAAAAAACAAAAAAAAACAAAAAACTCCTAGTTATGTATGATGAGCTTATGGAACGTCTTGCAATTGAAACTGGAGCTAATGGCAATCGTGCTGGTAGAAGTGAATCATGTTCAAATGCTACCAATGACAGTGAAAAGTCGACGTCTGTTGCGGCTCTGGAAACATGCATAAAAGAAAGAACAAGGCAGAATGCAGAGGCCAAATGGAACGATAGTCTCATGCAGATAGGGAATCGTCGTTTTGAGCTTTTAAAACTAGACCTGCCAATTGAGACAGTCAACACGATCTATGAACAAGAAGTAGAGCTTCTTAAAAGAGGTCCGTTAGAATAATAAACTATTTTTTTTTATTTTCTTCAAATTTTCTAACTATTTTTGACAAATTGTTCCTTTTTTTGACGCCGTGTCCCTGGCTACCTTCTGTTCTTTGGTGCTTTTGTTGGAAGAAACATTGGGCTCTTGGTCCATAGCGTCACTTTTGGGCTGGGGTGTGTGTCCGTTGTAATCATTGTCATCATAAGCAACATCATCCACATCATCCAAAAGTATGTTATGGAACATGGCGCAAAGACGTATCCAACGCATAACGTGGTACAAGTCTTCTTTAACGTTGATCTTGCACCGAAGATTCCTAAGGCTGCCAAATCTCATCTTCAACACCCCAAAGCAGTTCTCGATGCTAACTCTAGTTCTTGCATGCAGGTAGTTAAATGTCTTCATCTCCTTGGTAAAACCACCCTTTTCATTGTCTCTGTAAGGGATGATTACATTCTTTTTCAGAATGTAACCAGAGTTACCCAGGAGATACTCCTCACCTTCAAAGTACTTGTCAAAATGTTTTCCCAAGTCAGAACTTCCAAAAACTCGAGAATCGGTTCTACATCCAAGAAAACCGGTTGCAAAAAAATGATTCTTCTGTCTGGATCACAAACGGCCATCGTTTGAATGGAGTATCTTTTTTTTCTGTTAAAGAACTCCAAACCTCTGAACTTTGGTTTATATTCCAGACGAATGAGGGTACCGTCAACAAAGCCAAGACAATCTGGAAATCCATTGTTCTTTTTGGTGATGTCCTTGATTTTTTCTTTTTGCTCCTTGCCAGGCCATTTAATGACATCGCTCTCCATCGACAACATGACATCAAAGAACCTTGTTGTAAAGGCATGAACAGACCCCTCACTGATACCTGCTAGCCTGGCAATTCTTCCAACTGAAGCGCCATTTCCATCGCTTCCCAGACGAAGTAGTACTACCATCAGTTGCTTTCTGACGCTTGTCTGTTGGCGGCCTGATTCGGAAGACTGATAGAGCCTGTGTCCTGATACCAAGGTTACGATTTTTTCAAAAGATTCTTCGGACATTCGCATATCTTGGTTGAATCTGGTCTCATCCAATGAGTCAACAAAGCGTTCCCATCTATCATATCTTCTAGGAATACTTCTTCTAGGTCTCAGGTACCGATGGCTCTCCAAGGATTGAAGCTTCAACAATACGGGGTCGTTCATAAAAGCGGTTCTAGCCATAACTATCTCGTATTCATTAAATCCTTCGTTTTTCATGGTATTTAAGGTAGCTGCAGCCTGTTTCAAATGGTTTTTGGCAGCTTCTTGAGTTTTTTTAAGCAAAGTTTGTCTTCTGGATACTTTTGGCATAATTTTAAACGTAATTAATGTGTTTTGAGTGAAAAGGGACGACATTACATCATCTTTACAATTTATTTTTTAGTATCTAATTAAGGGGGGGGGGGACTCAGAAAGTGATAAATATAATTGGCTTAGAAAGTTACACCAATATTTTTGCAAACTTAAAATTTTTCATTCTGAAACCCCCTAATACATTAAGAATGATTAAGGAATCAATTATCCAATATAGATAGTTAGTACTATCATATCAAAAGGTTACAAGAATACAGTGACTAAGGCTTACTAAAGATATGGAAGTACAATGTGTCTAAGATGACAGTAATTCCAAGTTTAACATATTTACAAAATAAGCAGTTAAGGGTAACAGGATACACACTGGGAATATGATAACAACTTCAAAGATACACTAAAGATAGTGGTACAGCAGATAGTCTTTTTTATATAAATACTTGTTCATTTTATTTCATAATAAAGACAATCTTATAAACAGTCTCAAATTATTCATAAACTGCCTTATAATTTTTACTTACATCTAAACACGACATCGGACTATCTGGTGTAGCCTATAAATATGATGGTAATCATGATGAATTGTCCAATATGAAGAGAGAGGATGAACAATTCATAAATATAAACTTTGCAAACGAGAATGAAGAAAAACCCGATGAAACTTCTGCTGGAACCAATGATGAACAAGCTACGTTTCACGAGTGCATACAACCATCATTAATAGCAAACAAAAAAATCCCTCTTAAATCCTTTTGTACTGTTCCTGAAAGCATTATTCACATTTGTTGTATTCGAGGAGTTTATACACCACAGTATTGGTATACTCCGACGATTGAAGTAATTTATAATCTTTGATATTTTGACATATGTCAGCTGCTCATCTAAAATTCACGTAGCACTAAGGGGAATTTCCCTGTTATGGACTGTTATTTTTATTATCCCTGATGTACCTTGCGGGATATTGACAGCTTGGATGATTTATAATGAAATCTACCCACGATGGTAGTTTTCCCGTTTACAGTTATGGTTATGTTCAATGTGTATAAAAGAACTCTTTATTTTTATATTTAATAAAAACAAGTTATTTTACAATCCGGTTAATAATTAGTCTTGTAGATTATTTTCTTTGTTGTATTTTTCAACATTGACACTAAGGAAGGGGCTACAAGTTATACGAAACAGTATAATACTCTTATAAACTTCGTACAACTGTAGATAAGCAGATTGAGGAGTGGTTATCTAATGGCACTATCATAAAATCGAGAAGAAATCCTTCCTTTAATAGTTCACTATTATTAGTTCCAAAGCGTGATAAGCTGGGTAATATCGTACCGCATCGTGTAGTTACTGATGTACACGGATTGAATAATCTGATAGACCCCATAAATTACAGCAGTAGAATAATTAAAGATATATTTAATAACATGCAAGGAAGCGAAGTATTTACCACGCTTAATTTAAAGACCGCTTATCATCGTTTTCTCGTAGATCCCAAATCACAACATAAGTTGACGCTTAAATATAATAACCAAGCATATTGCTTTCAAGGCTGTTGTTTTGGATTGAAAACGATAACAGCAATATTCTCTAAAGGGATGGATATCGTCATCGCTGATCTTCCATTTGCTGAATGTTATGTTATATTGATGATGTTGTTATCCATGGATGTATTCAAGATCATGCTATACATGTTAAAAAGTTATTGATCGATTAACTGAAGTAAAATTGATTTCAAATGTTGATAAATGTTCTTTTTTCCAAAAGACTGTAAGATTGCTTGGATTTATCATTGATTCCACAGGAACTCGGATCGACCAAGTTAAATTATCTGGTATAAGTTTGTGGCCTAAGCCACAATCAGCAAACCAAGTTCGGCGACTGATGGGTTTAGTTCAATATTTTGCTGACTATGTCCCCATGATCTCTCGTATTGCTGATTTCATAAACATGTCGTATTTCCTCCAATAAAGATCGTATAGAATGACCTTCAATATGGTTAAATTATAATATTCGAGTGGTACTCTCATATTACCAGTATAATCTTGTTACAGATTATATATTCGGAATTATATTATTATTGGTTGTTATGACGCTCTTTGATCTGTTACTGAAGTATCAGCAAATGAGAAATTTTCACTTAATAATTCGGGTCAATCAATATGATAAAATATTGATTGACTGGAGACCATATAATTCTAATTGCCATGTTTCAGAAGATAGAAACAAGCCAGTACCTATTCTTTACCAGATTCAATCTCCCAGATGTTTTGATAGAAAAAGCGTCCTCCCTTTTGCGATGACCTTCTCTCCATCAATATTATAATGATTGTTTTGACTTTGCAGTATATACCTTATTTAGTAATTCGGACTGTTCTTTTTTTTTTTTCTTTGCGCGGCCAAGCGAAGCGCAGGTCGAAGCAACAGACATGTATGAGTATAATAAACACTTACTGAGCTGGGAGGGGCTGTAAGTCCCGACCTACACAGTACATAAAACATTGAGTGAAAAAAATAATGATTAGCATTGAGTGAGCTGGGAGGGGCTGTAAGTCCCGACCTACACAGTACATAAAACATTGAGTGAAAAAAATAATGATTAGCATTGAGTGAGCTGGGAGGGGCTGTAAGTCCCGACCAACACAGTACATAAAAGATTGAGTGAAAAAAAATTATTGATTAGCTGTTTCCGAATATTGGGTGTCACAACTATAAATAAAAAATAAAAAAGCGTTAACTTTGTTCAGCCCCTTTTTTCACGAACAATAACAAATGTCTAACATTGGTGATCACGAATTTATTCATTTCGATGGAAGTAGTCCACGACGTCAAGGCAGAGCAAGACTCAATGCAGCAGAGTCAGCTAATCCCAGAGGGTGGAAGACAGTCCAGTCGAATCAACATTCCCAGAGCTCCGAGATTCAGTAACGGTAATAGAAACTCGAACGAAGACCCTGAGATCCAGAATGACGCTACCAGCAACACTGATCCAGAAAGTGAACCAACATCTTCTTCAACAGGTAAAATAGAAAATGAACGCAAAAACAAGTATTCTGAACCTTTTTTTTTTTTTTTTTTTTTTTTTTTTTTTTTTTTTTTTTTTTTTTTAGCCAGAGATCATGACCTAAATCGTGCCTGTCATGAAAATTTTGAAGAGACAAATCTTCTTCGTGAGCGTAGAGGTATATACCGTGGAGATGCAACTTCAGATTTTTATGGACGCCATAATTTACAAGGGATGACAGAAAGATGCCCTTATTGCCATGCTATGCTGTTTAAAGAAGAACAAGCGACCAATCAAAAATTTTCTTTTTGCTGCAGTAATGGAAAAGTCAAAATTGATATCGTAGCTATGCCAACCATTCTCATGCAAAAACTTTTGACAGGTGAGCATCCTACCAGTACTGAGTTCAGAAAAAATATCAGAATGTACAATAATGCTTTTGCATTTACCTCATTTGGAGCCGATCACGAGGATGAGATGTTCAGTGGATCAAATCAAGGATCATTCACGTTCAGAATCCAAGGAGGAATCTACCACCGATCTGCCCCATTAACTGTCAGTGAAGGTAGAAAGCCTGTTTTTGCTCAGGTTTACTTGAGTGATCCTAACTTACGCGTCCAGCAGCATATCAATTTCAATGAAGTTTTGGATCGTCAGTTGGTTGCTCATTTGAATCAAATGATGGATGACGTATCACCGTATGCCAGTCTTTTTGAAAATGCTAGACAAAGATTTTCGGCAAACACAGTTGATGGCCAAAATGGTGTCAAAGATTTGTATGTTTATGTACGTGGAAACCCTGGACTTGGTCGGCAATACGATGTGCCTATTGCAGACGAAGTTGCAGCATATATTGCGGATGCAACAGTACCGGATGAAATCACGAAAGGTAGTAGAGAAGTCGTCGTCTTTTCAACTGCAAATGGATTTCCCAAAAAATGAATGACTGTCACAGTTCATACGATTCCTTACATTTTGCATTGATGTTCCCTGGAGGTGATGACGGATGGAACACTAATTTGGAACTGAATTTAGACAATGAGGTCATTCAAAGAAATCAAGAAAGGGATGAGCAGAGTTTAAGCAGTAACCGAATGACACAAAAATCGGTGTCATTAAATCAATTTTACCAGCATCGATTGCAAGTACGACCTGGAGAAACAATGACATGTGATTTTGGTAGATTGTTTCATCTGTATATCGTGGATATGTATTGCAAAATTGAAGGCCGTCGATTGTATTACTTACGTACGAATCAAAGTATTTTACGTTCTGAGTTGTATTCTGGATTAGCGGATGTGCAAGTAGGTGTTGATATGAGTAGAGAATCGATTGGCAAGAGAGTTATTTTACCTTCCAGCCATACAGGCTCGCCAAGGGCCCTACATCAAATGCAACAGGATGCCATGGCTGTTGTTAGAGCGCTGGGAAAGCCAGATTTATTTGTAACAATTACTTGCAATCCAAATTGGAAAGAAATAGTTGATGAGTTGTTACCAGGTGAGGTCCCTTCGGATCGACCCGATTTAATCTGCCGAGTTTTCGACTTAAAACTAAAAGAAATATTCATCGATATCAAAGATAAAATGATATTCGGAAAAGTTAAGGGCTTAATCCATGTTATTGAGTATCAGAAACGTGGTCTACCCCACGCCCATGTTGTAATCATCCTTGCTGAGTGTTCTAAACTACATACTCCTCGCGATATTGATAAATATATTTCTGCTGAAATCCCTGATCCTATTCGTTTTCCTAAGGCCTACAAAACAATTACAAAACATATGATGCATACCCCATGTAGTATCTCTTTAACTGATTCCCATGGTAAAGTAAGAATGTGTCGGGATAACAAAGACAAATCATGCAGTAAACACTTTCCAAAAGATATGTACCACGCAACTGTCATTGATGAAAAGGGGTTTGCAAAATATAGAAGACGCCCCACAAATCTTTTTGTTCTTTTTCCAAATGGGTACCACGCTGATAATCGTTGGGTTGTTCCTCACAACTTATATCTTGCTGTTAAGTACAACACCCACATCAATGTTGAATTTTGTGCTGGAAATCAGGCCATTAAATACCTGTTCAAGTATATTTACAAGGGATCAGATCGGGCACAAATTGCAGTGTTACCTGCTCAGACCACTCCTATCAATATGGCAACCGACACTCCCAGCTGTCATTTTACCAGATGACGAACTGGATGAAATAACGAGCTGGTTGAGCGTTCGGTATATATCTACAATAGAAGCATGCTGGCGTATCATGGGTAAACGTACTCATTCGTGTCAGCCTTCGATAAAAAGATTGGCTATTCATTTGCCTAATCAGCAGAATGTCACTTTTGTCGAGGGTGCAAGTAATTTCGAAATACAACGGGCCATGGAAAAACAGACAACCTTGACTGCTTATTTTCAGCTAAATCGTGATGATATTTATGCCAGGTCTATTCTTTACAATGATATACCAGCTCATTATGTCCAAGACGCCAAGACCCATTTATGGAAAAGACGACGCAATCACCAGAAGTTTCCTCCAATTGGTAGAATGTACTTCATATCAGCTAAATCGTGATGATATTTATGCCAGGTCTATTCTTTACAATGATATACCAGCTCATTATGTCCAAGACGCCAAGACCCATTTATGGAAAAGACGACGCAATCACCAGAAGTTTCCTCCAATTGGTAGAATGTACTTCATATCAGCTACTGACATTGAAAGGTACTGTCTGCGATTACTGCTTTTACATGTAAAAGGCGCTACAGGATTCGATCAACTCAAAACCACTGATTCTTATGATGAAGATGGCGTTCGATCGACCGGTACTACCCATTGGGCAACATTTCGAGAAGCAGCACAAGCTCTTAATTTGTTAGAAGATGCAAAAGAGTGGGATAGAGCCATGACTGAAGCTTTTATGCTTTGCTCCAGTTCAGCAAAAATTCGAGAACTTTTTTCTGTTCTTCTTATTTTTAACTTTGTTCCTAACTACAAAGCAATTTGGGACAATCACAGAGATAATCTTTCGGCTGATTTTGAGTACACTTATCGCCAAAGCCTCCCAAACCATGGTGTTGATTCTGAAGGCTGTCCAATTGATTTAAGTGATCAGGATAATGACTATATTACAAATCTGACAATCATTGACATTGCAAATCGATTGCTCAAGAACTACAAGGATATAGCAAATTTTCCTGAATTACCCCAACCCGATCCATCTACCTACAATGCGTATGTTGCAAGGGCTCAAAATTTGTATGATCACGAAATTGGCCAGTATGATGTGGATGATTTAGCAATCAATGTTGTCGTATATGAAGGCCAAGAAAATGGCAGTTTAAATTCGGAGCAACGTGTCATTTATGACGAGATTGTTTCAGCAATCTACAGAAATAGCGATGCTCCATCACAAAGTTCATTCTTTTTTGTTGACGGTCCAGGTGGCACTGGCAAAACATTTCTTTACAATGCTTTGCTTTCAAAAGTACGCTCTGGTGGTGAAGTTGCTTTGGCGTGTGCCTCATCCGGTATTGCTGCTACTTTGCTACTTGGTGGTCGAACAGCCCACTCACTTTTCCAAATACCAATTGATATTGACGAATCATCTGTTTGCAACATCAAGCTACAAGATATTAGTGCTAAAATGATAAGTGACGCCAAACTAATAATTTGGGATGAAGCTCCTATGATGAACAAGATGACGTTCGAATGTGTGAGTCGTCTTTTACAAGAAATAACTGGCAATTACACCCTTCCTTTCGGTGGTAAAGTTGTTGTTTTAGGAGGTGATTTCAGACAAACACTACCAATTGTTCAGTTTGGTTCCCGATCTGATATCATCAATGCGTGTGTGACCAATTCGGTCCTGTTCAGGGACTGTAAGGTCTTGCGGTTATTGAGAAATATGCGGCTAACATCAGATTCTATTCTGGATGACGGTACGCCGTTTCAAGATTATCTTTTGGGAGTGGGTGAGGGTAGTCAGCAGATATACGATCAATATGTGTCAATTCCTGCAACAATTGTATCATACGCTGAATCAATCAAGGATGTTGTTGATAATGTTTTTGGTGATGCATTAAGTGATGAAAATCTGTACCGAAATCGAGATTTCATTGTCAGCAAAGCCATCCTTGCAGCTCACAACACGACAGTTGATGAAATCAATGAATTGGCAACAGAGAAATTACCCGGAATATCTATGGTTTACCTTTCCGACGATTCCATCGAGGAAACCCAAAATTCTGGGTCAGCTAATTTTCCGGTTGAGTCTCTCAATGCAATCAAACCTTCCGGCATGCCTCCACATAAATTAGTATTAAAAAGATTCCAGCCAATTATGTGTCTCAGAAACATCAACCCTGCCGAGGGTCTTTGTAATGGTACAAGACTTATTTGTCGAAATTTTACAAGAAACATAATCGAAGCTGAGATTGCTGTTGGCGATAGAGCAGGTCTCATTGTTTTGATTCCTCGGATCATTTTAATCTCTTCAGATAATGCCAACTTGCCATTCACCCTCCGTCGACGTCAATTTCCAGTGCAACCTGCATTTGGAATGACTATAAACAAATCACAAGGCCAAACTCTTTCTTTTGCAGCCATTTGTCTGATCAAACCCGTTTTCACGCACGGTCAACTTTATGTTGCTTTATCACGGGTTCGTAACCCTGCTAATCTCAAAGTAATCTTACTGAAAGAGCCGCCATTACCAACACTCACAGACAACGTTGTATTTACAGAAGTATTAACTCGAACACAAAATTAAACATAAAATATTCATTATCAATAAAATCTATCTTTATCCCATTTATAAACATTGAGTGGCGTCGGTGGCCCGCTGCAGGCGCGAGATCGCACCCAGCAGGAACGTAGGTTATTTTTACCGTAGCGAAGCGAAGGTCAAAAAATTACGGAAGTGGGCTGGGGCCGCGATCTCGTAACTTTAAAAAAGGATTAACAGAGACTCATTGCTTTAATTCTTTTTCTTCTGTTTTTTATCTAATTCTATTATCTCAAAACATCACATTTTTTTAAAAGAATTCTCTCGTTAATGCCAACCATCCCACTGCTGCCTAAGGTTCCCCTGTACTTGATGTCAACCACTCTTCTTCTTCGGAGTCCGAGTTCTCTGGTGGTTCTTCTGGTTCTCATTCTGATGTCGTTCACCGAGGAGGTGATTATTCCGATCGTATGGACGTTGATGTTGAGGGTACGCCCGAAAACACTCGTACTGATCAAGGTTAAGCATCGTCTTCACTTGTAAGCCCAGTCGTAGATTCTCCGGAAGGATCAGATTACGCTGGCAGAATCGCTGTGTTTGAGAATTGAATTAAAGAGGATGCAGCCACGATCGCTATTCTTTCTAAGACTGGAACTGAATTGATGACCAAACTTGCTACTAATCCTTTGGAGTACAAGGTACATTTGGACGCCAACTCGACTGCTTTGGAGTATTTACACAAGAGAACTGCGAATGATTGTGCCTCGTTGATTTCTTTGAGAAACGAAGAAACCAATTTACTCGAGGTAACCTCCCGTACTGACAAGCTAACAATCAAGAAGTCAAGAAAGGAACTGGATCATACTGCGATCAACCCCAAGGACCTCCCTCCTTTTAACGTTCGACTCACCAAGGCTCGTAAGGCTGCTCATATCGAGAATGGCAATGAAGACTACTTGTTGGAAACGTTCGTTATTTCTTTCGAGAGAGTATACAAGAATGCGAATGTCGATGTACAGAAGCACAGGTTTGTCCATTTGGAAGGTTGTTTGGAAAAGCATTTCATCAATTGAGCTTGGTTCAACAAAGCTATCGAAACCAAGCATAGTGCCAACAAGAAGCCTACAGAGACTAAGGCTGTCAAGATTTTACAAGAACGATTTGTGATCTACTCCGATAAGGGTATTCAAAAAGACAATGAAGAACTTTTCGAAAATGGTGCGATCAAGGACGGTGAAAATCTGGCTGCCTATATGTTCAGCTTCGGTATCTTGGAGATTACCTGTAACGTTTTAACCAAGAACAACTACCTGTACACGGCTTGTTTCATCTGGAACCTCAAGAAAGAAAAACTTAAGACTAAGGTGATTAACGCTATGTCCGAGTACGTGAACCTGTCCAACAAGGATACAAGCATCCATGCCCCGTGTAATGATGAAGCTTTCTGCGACTTCTACTCTGACTTTGAAAACGAAAGACAAGCTATCACAAGGAAAATAGCCCTATTGGAACAATGCTTGGAAGACGAAAGAAAAAAAGGTAACGCTAGTTCTTCGTCTGGTTTGTCCTCTGAGAAGTCAAAGAAAAGAAAAGCTGTCAATGGTGCTAGTGTCACCCCCACTTGGTCAAGCCCTTCTTCTTCTGCCGCTGCTGCTGCTGCTACCCCTGCATCTTCTTCGAGTGGTCCTCCAAGGGAAATCAACTTTGACTTGGTCCGCCTTGATTTGGTGTAAAAGCCATCGCACGTGTTGAACATTGAGGAGAAGAACTTCTTGTTCAAGGTTAAGAAGTGCATATATTGCAGAGTTGCTACTTTTTCTGTTGGTCACGCTGAAGTCTGTCCTGGAAAGAAAAAGCAGTATAAGGTAAATAATAGTTCAATTCATGATAATAACAATAAATTAGCTTCGTCTAATCTTAACGTTTTGTCTAATCAACTTATTAACAATCAATCCAATTCTAACTCCTCTGATGTTTCTAGAAATACTAAAAACTACGATACTGATGAAAGAAGAGAACTTTGGTGATAATGAAGACGATTTCCAAGCCGCCTATAGAAGCTTATACGACTTTATTTGTACTGATAATGATGAAGTTGATTCTTTTAATAAAAATATATTTGGCATAAAAATTAATAATGATAGAAATGTATTTATTAATAAGGGAAAAAGTTTAAAAGGCTCGGATGATTTATTTAATTCCGAAAGTGTGGCTTATTCACCCATCACCCCTATTATAATTAATTCTGTAAAAACGTATTGTACCCTAGACACAGGTGCTCAAGTTTCTATTATTGATAAGCAATTTGCTATTGATGATAAGAGTATCCCCAACGGTGTGTGAAAAAACCATTTTATTCCAAAATAGCACAAAGATTTAGAATAATTTAACCCTAACGGTCAATTGGATAATAGAATATTTTAAAAATTTTATCACAAATATTGTAAATTTCCAATTGAATCAATAAATATAGAAAATTTCTTTATTTATTCTAGTCCCTTAATGTTTTTGACATGAGCGATAATTCTGAAACAGTAACAATCCCTGAGCTTCCCAAAAAGGCAGGACATGGAGCAAATTGGTCAAGAGACAAAGAACAACAGTTGTGCCTTTCGTTTGTCGCCATTGCTACCGATGGTGTCATTGGTAAAGGCCAGACATGCAAACGTTTTTGGGATTGCTTTAAGACCGACTACAATGCCAAAATCGGTGACAATGCTGTCGAAGAACGTACCAGTGCTGTCGTAACCAGCCGTTAGAACACCATAAATCCCAGCGTGCAAACGTTTATTGGCTGCTACGAAACTCTTTTGAGAAGTGTGCAGCAAAGTGGTTCAAGTCCTCAGGATTTGGTAAGATGGCTATAGCTTAATTCTAGCAGAACTAAATTGTTATTTTACATAATAGGTCCATAAGGCGTATGCTCTATACAAAAAGTCGACCAAAAACGGTGCTCCTTTTGTTTTGGAACACTGTTGGCAAATCTTATCCGCAGAGCCAAAGTGGGCCATGTACAACATGCCTAAGCTTGTTGTAACGAAGAGAAAAATCAATGGCAGTCTCGAAGTCATTGAAGACACTGAGACGGGTTCTTCTTCTGGGGATGTAACTTGCCCAATGGGGTGTAAAACGCTGAAGGCACTCCAGCAGCGTGAACGCCAAAACGAGGTAGGTGAAAGCATCGTCGCCCGTTTGAAGGACCTTCTGGAGTTGAACCAAAAGAAGTTACTCCAGAACAAGTTGGCGGTTCAAGTAACCAACACGAAGATGAGGTTCGACAAGAGAGTTCGAGATGAAAGAACCATGTCGATGGATCTTTCGGTCATGACTGACCCTCGTAAGCGTGCGTACTTCGAGAAAAAACAGGAGAAAATCCTTTCTCAACCATCTGACGAATCGTCTGATGAAGAAGTAGAAGATGTAGTAGAAGATGTAGTAGAAGAAGTAGAAGACGGATTAGAGGACTGATTGGAAGGAGACAGATAGAGACTTTTAAAAAATAAAAAAATAAAAATTGAAACAAAGTACTACATATTGCCCTGTCTTTGCCAGTGATGCTCGATCAAGTCTTTTTTCAACTGATTATGAGTATCACTATCTTTTAAAGCAACCAAACGGCCCACCAAAGCAACAAAAGCTTCGGGATCATTCATGTCAGGGTAAGCTTGTCCATGAAAAGAATGCATGTGGTAGTCTGTTCCAAGATCCTGACCACGTTCGTTTTCTACAATCTTCTTATGTAATATGATACATGTATGCATAATGGCCTGGAGATCGATAAAGTCCCAAAGTCTAGCAGGCCATATAATAATAGCAAAACGTGCCTGCAGTACACCAAATGCACGTTCTACGTCCTTTTGCACCTTTTCTTGTGCCTTAGCAAAACACTATTAAAGTCCAAGTAAATTAGTTTTTTATAAATTATCATTGTTACTCTTGGTACCTTCTCTTTTTGCGACGTAGGCACTGCAATTGTCTTCACCAAAGTCGACCAAGTTGGATAAATACCATCTGCGAGAAATTACCCCTTATCGTATCTATTGCCATTGACGAAGAACTCGACTTCAGGAGCAACACCATGTATCAAGGGGTCAAATACATGGGAACAATTGATGACATTGATATCGTTCAATGATCCCGGCAGACCAAAAAAGCAATGCCAGATCCAAAGGCCTTGGGAAGCAACAGCTTCGAGAATCAAGGTTCGCATTTTTTCTTTACCGGTGTACATTCCATGCCAGGTAGTTGGGCAATTTTTCCACGTCCAGTGTATACAATCAATTGACCCCAACATACCCGGAAATCCTCTCTCTTCATTGATTGCCAAAAGATTCTTGACATCCTCGCTGTTTGGGGCTCTCAAATATTTCTCCCTATAGATTGCCACAATCGCATGACAAAAGTGCTTCAATGACTACATGGCTGTGGAATCAGCAAGTCGGATGTACAAATCAACGGAATCCGATGATACACCGTAAGCTAATTGACCCATAGCTGCTGTCACTTTCTGGATGGGTGAAAGTCCAGGCTTTCCAGCGGCATCCGGTTTTGGGTGAAGTATTCATCCTCTAATTGAACTGCTTTGACAATTTGCAGAAACAGATCACGCTTCATTCTAAAACGACGACGAAACTGTTGGTCTGTATAAACAGGGTCATCGGAAAAGTAGTCGTTGAATAAACGTTCATGCCCGGCAGCACGGTTTCTATTAACATAGCGCCGACCTGGAGCGGATCCACCTCTCTTGGGTGTATCTTTGGTTAGTTGTATAACATACTGAAGAGCTTCTTGGATAAGTTGATCTTCAATATCATTGTTGTCGATTATGTCAAAGTTATTACTCAGTTATTACTCATTTTTGTAACAAAAATTTAAAAAAGAACAGAAAAGAAAATAAAATAAGGAACGGGATTATAAATTTAGCTACAACCGTTGGGGTCGATCTGTTCTATTTTATTTTAACAGATGGAAAACAGTCCTATTTTACATTTGGAATTCAAAAACCGTTGGGGATGCTCTAATATCCAATTTCATGCAGTTGACGGACACTTCTGTTTGTACCACGATACTAATATACCTCGTGAACAGTCTGTGTTGCCATTGAGTATTGATTATGACGGTGTAGAACATGTTGTCTCACATAAGTTCGATGTGATCGACAGTAAGAAAATGCCTTCGCCTCATAACCAAATATTAGTTGGAACAGATCTCATGCCTAAATTGTCGATCCAATTGGTTAATGTTGTACATAAATATAAGGACACTACAAAGTCAGTTGATGATTCCATCTCTGATGTGGCGTATACAACCGACGTTACTCCTTATGTTAGTGAAGAGGAGCAATTAGCGTTTCACAATAGTTTAAAACCTTATATTGAGGCTATCAAGAAACTTGATCCTAATTCATTTTGTAATTTGCCTGAGAGAGTTTTGCATTTACCAACCCCTGTTGATTATTCGGTTAGCATACGTCAGTATCCTATCGCTTATAAGTTGCGTCCATTGGTAATGGAAGTGGTTAGTGATTAGGTAAAAGATGGCATTGTAGTTAGAGCTACTCCATCGGTGTGGAACGCTCCTATTACAGTTACAATTAAAAAGAACCATGAATCTGGTACTGTATCCTCCGATCTGAATACCTTAATGAAAGACGATGTCAGAGTTGTTCTTGATACAAGAATGCTGAATAAAGCACTGCCTACTATTAATGAAACACAACCTTTGATCAATGATATATTTTCCACTGCCATGGATGGCTGTGTTGTATTCAGAACAATTGATTTAAAGTCTGCATTTTCACAGTTTCAGGTAAATTGTGACGATCAGGTTAAAACAAGTTTTACCGGTCCGGATAACCTTAAATACATGCATGCTGGTAGCCGTTTCGGTGTCGGTACGATTAGTCAACTGTTTAGTTCAATTATTCTTTCATTATTTAAGGATGTTCCGTACATAAGATCGTTTGTTGATGACATTTGTGTTATGTCTCGTTCCGTCGAAGCACACTTTCATCATGTTAAACATGTTCTTACAGTTTTAACGTCAGTTAACCTGCGGGTTAATTTCCGTAAGTCTCATTTTGCTAAAGCAGAGGTTTATCTTCTTGGTTTCTCTATTTCAGAAAGAGGTCGTCGTATCGATACTCGAAAACTGACTAATCTTGATGCATATCCTCGGGCAACTACGTCTAAACAATGTCAGTTATTTTTAGGGTTTGTCAATTATTTTCGACAACAAATTCCTAATGCTGCAACGTTGATGGCTCCACTTAATTTTCTTCGTTCTCATGATTAAAAGAATAAAGGAAGACCTTTTCAATGGACTGCAATACATGATATGCATTTCCGTACACTGAAGGAACTTTTAGTTTCCGATGTGGTATTGAGTCACCCCAATTTAGATCAACCTTACTGTATTGCTACAGATGCATCTGATTATGGCATTGGTTGTTGTTTATTCCAGGAATAGTTATAAAACCACCACTGCTGATGGTAATGAAAAAACCATCATAAAACATATTGGATTCTTTTCTCCACCGCAAAATTACGGTGAAGGTTAACAACGATTTTGACCAGATCCGTGACGGATCTGGTCAATTTTTGACTATTCTGGATCCGGGACGGTAACTTTTGAAAAATGACCGTATCCGTGACGGATCTGGTCAATTTTCGATTATTCTGTATCCTGGACGGAGCAGGTTTATAAATTGACCAGATCCGTGACGGATCTGGTC